GAAACTAGCGACAGAAACATCTCTATATTTGAGGTTACTAGGTTATCATCGGGAGGACAATGGAATACATGCTTCTTCTGGACTTGGTATCATCGGAAGGGAAACCATCATTCGGGCGGCGAGACATGATCTCGGTTGGTCTTCTGGTTGACACTGATACGTGCGCGATTGGCATAGAATCTGAGACCTACAGACAACGGATAGGACAATATACCAGACTAACTTTGCTCTAGTATGAAGCTCCTTGAAGCAGGCCACATAGATATGTTCTGTTGGACTTGTCCAACCGTGATGGCAGCTGTTTGTCACGTGCTGGGGTACAAAACCAACTGCAGCTAACCGCGTGAATGCCGCTGGGCGGATCTTATTATTTCGGTCGAGCAAACGATGATAGCAACGAATAACTTTTTCCCCCTCACCCCAGCTTCTATTGCTTAGACCTTCGCGTCCAAGGCATCAGGGTCTCATATCTGAGTCTTTGGCGCCTTGGTCTGCAATCCGCATCCATCTTGCACTCAGCGGGCGGCGTCAAAGTCATCTTTGAGGCAGAGAGGGGGCACACTTTGATGCGCAGGAGGTAATCATCACGGTCAACGGCATTGGGGGTAGGTAGGCAAAGAGCGCTGACCTCCCTCGCCGTTTGCAAGGTGGCCCAAATCCTCCATTTATCTTCCGTGCCCTGACATTCTCTGACTTTTTTCCTTCTTCCACAGCCACAGTTGCCGCTGCTCTCTCTGCTTCTCCCATTCTTCTTCACACTTCTTGTCACAGGATGGAATCGAACTTGAACCATTCCTCATCCGACAAATCGTATTCTCCAGCTGGCTCCCGGAGCTCTACGCGAAACACCACGCCTGATTTCGACTCTGCGGTGTCTCTCGCCTTCCCTGGCCTGGGAATAAGCGGTAACCCTCGGTCTCTCCACATGGATGTTGAACAAGGCCACTACAAGAACCCACACACGATGTTCCGGCCTTCCAACAACTACATCGAGGAAAACAACTACGTGACGCCTCGCCGTGTTGATGCCCCAAACTGGCGGGGAGGCTATGGTGTGGGAGCTGGTCGGAATTACGCCCAAGGACACTACCACTCCCTCAACTCAGCCAACGGCCCCGAATATCCGATGATGGAACCGCAGATGCCGGAGCGTCAGATGAGCAGGGATACAGTTGTGGATATGGCGGGCTTCTACGCCTACTGCTTGGATCGCGGCAACGGTAACTTCACCCGACTCATTCCGGCTGACTTGCTTCCCCCCCTAGCCGGCATTCCAGCTGTACAGGCCGGTGTTGATGGTATGCTTGTTCTTCCACTCCCTCGGGGACCAGACCCTCATAGTCTGTCTGGAAATCCTCTCCAGCCAATTGCTTTCAAGGTATGCACGTTTCCTTCGTCCTAGTCATGTCTTTTCAAGCACCAGATCGTTGGCGCTGAACGCATCAGACCCCTCCACCATCACCGGCACCAGTATCTGATGCTCTTCAGGTAATTCTCACCGTGTTCCTTTCAACCCCTTTCTACGTCATGCATTCATATCCGCACAGCTAGGTGTTTTGCACTGACAAGAATATTTGTGACACTAGAGAAGAATCGACCACATTGTAGCTTCCTCTCCCACGCCGCCAAAGAGACCCAAGATATATTGCGACAAATGGGTTCACGAGGGCGTTTGCGCCTTTACGCAGCAGGGCTGCAAGTACAAGCACGAGATGCCGCTCGACAAGGCGACACAAAACTCTCTGGGCCTGTTTCATGGACTGCCGGCATGGTGGAAGAAGCAGCAGGCCGAGTTGCAGCGGCAGCAGCCGCAAACACTCCTGGAGCCTAACGGTTCTGAAGCATTCTCCGATGCTCGAAAACAACCACAGAGTGGTCTCGTTTCGCCCATCAAGAGTGAAAAGGGTTATAATGGTCTGGCGAGAGCCTCGCAGTCTTGGCGCAGGGTCGAGGGAGTCAAGCTTGAGCCTCAAGGACAGATGGGTTCAGTTTCATCCCCAAGACAGACTACAGGATACAGACCCTCTGCTGGTAGTTGTTGCGAACGTCTCGTATTGGAGCCTCCAAGCTAACATAAGAGGCAGAACCACGTTCTTTGTACCAGCAGAAGGCCGACTCCCCTACTCCCTCCTGTGTCTGGGGCCCGATTGGTCCGCCTTCGAAGCAAACACCCGGCCAGAGCCAGATGTGCCACCATAACATGAGCAAGTTCAACGCAGCCACCAATCTCGCGCTGCTGGGCTCCCTCGACATGAACATTGGCGAGAAGACCGGCAATCTCAACTACGAGTAGTACTAGAGTCAATGTGTGGCACAGGATCCATTGAGGGGGTTGGTTGGTACGGATATTTGAAGAGGGAATGAGATACGAGGTATGAGACTAGGGGGTATCGGTAGGGCATTCAATCAACTTTTCAGGCTTGAGAGATAGTATTGATTATAGAAGGCACGAGCCAGCAATGGTGGGGAGGCCTATGCATATCGAATCGGACACAAATATTGTGCTGAAATGTCACCGCCTTTTACTTGCCTTCCATTTGGGGGGGGGGGGGGTTCCCGTCATCAAGTCACCTATAGCCACTCCAGGCTCCAAGTCTCCTTGCCCGCACGGAAAGGCACGACCTGAATACCCGCGCCCTCGAACATCTGGTTGACAACAGCGCCGCCGCGTGTGAGGCGGACGCGCTCCTTTCGGACATCCTCAGTACCGTAGAACTTGCGGCCATAGCCGCTGACGAAGCCCTCAAGGCGTTCCTGGGTGATGTCCTCGTCGCGGAGCTCACCGCGAGCGACGGCTTCGTCAAGGGCCGCGAGGAGGTACTGCACGGCGTAGGGCTGGGTGAAGACGCCAGCAGCGGCCTTAGATGGGCCCGTCTTGGAGGTGATGGGGTGCGGGGCCGAGTCGGTGCCGAGGAAGAACTTGCCGTTGCTGTGGACGACGGCGTTGAGCAGGGCTTTGCGGTCGGCGGGGAGCTGTGGTGGATGTTCAGTTCGTGTTTTGAAATGGGGAGACGGGGTACCCTTCACAGAGCTGCACGAGTCTCACCTTGGCAACGGGCTTGCAAAAGTTCAGCTGTAAGGTGCTGATATTAGTCTCATGGTATCTGGTTAACAGGGGTATTTTCGGTCATACTGCGTCTCCGACGACATCATCGATGGTGATGAAGAGGTGGTGGCTGTAAAATGGGCATCAATATCTTGCTGGGGTCTTGGTACAGGAAGCATACCATGTGATCGTGCCAGAGACGTTGGGGCCGCTGGAGTTACCGTTAGTTCCAAGCTCGCCCCGAGTTGGGCTTTTTGGGCTTACCATGACTTGACAGCCTCAACAGCCTCGGCGGTTGTGCAGTGCTCGAGAACTAAAAAAAAAAGTATCAGTCAAACCCTGCTCGGGCACAGCAGTGAGTCTGGCTTACTGATCCTGAGCTTGGGGTACTTGGCATGAAGCGCCTTGAGAGTGGGAAGGAACTGGGGCAGGGCTATCAGTGAACATGTCTGGAAGGAAAACACTTCCGGGACCATCTGCTCACCTTGGACTCGGCATTGAGAGTTGTGATGTCGCTGCCAGCATGGGACGGGCACTCGCCGTGAAGGCAGAGGATGAGGTCGACCTCCTCCATGGCCTTGAAGACCTCGTGGAAGGCGTCGTAGTCCACGACGCCGGCGGAGCTGTTGGTCGTGACGCCAGCGGGATAACTAAGTACGGGTTAGAGGCGGAGGTTGAAGCAAAGTGGTGGTCGGGAGGGCATAATGGTGCAACAGACCTCTTGACAGCGGCAACACCGGCCTTCTTCGCTTCTTTAATGGTCTCAGGGGTGACGTCCGGGTGGAGGTAGAGGGTCATAAGCAGGTCGACTTCGTCCTTGCCCATGGCCTGCTTGATGCGATCGGAGTAGTCCAGGGCCATCTTGACGGTAGTCACGGGGGTAGGTGCCAGGTTGGGCATGATCAGGGCCTGTGGATGTGTTAGTGATACTTTCAAGTGCCATATTTGTGTTGATGCGGCTTACCTGGTTCACTCCACCCTGGCGGACAGTCGGGGCAACGATCTGGAAGAACAGGTCAGTCGACGGGCTCAAGTTTTGGTCGGATTACTACGCGTCGACAAACCTTGCACATGTCGCCATCACGTAGGTGGACGTGGGCGTCGAAGCCAGCGGGCAGCTCAACGGTGTCAGGGAGAGGCATTGCAGATAGTGAGTCTGACGAACAGCTAGTGAAACTTGGATTGAAGAGAAATTCTATGTTCTGAATCAGAAAACGCAGAACTGACAACCGCTCAAAATCCTGTCATTTTGGGGTCAGAATCAACGTACTGCTGAATTTCGCTCAATATTTTCGGGTCAGTCGTCGTGATGGTTGAACGAGTCTGGATCCCTATCGCGAAATGTTTTTCGAGTATCCATGGTGGGGGCGGGGTAACGGACCAGGTTCCCCAGATCCTTCTGAAACTAGGACAGCGAGCGAGAAACAATGACTGTAAGGCTAGACATTAACAAATCCACGACAACAGTTGCTGGTTATACCCAAGTCCTAATCCATAATAAACCTAGTAGGTAACATTCTTATGTGAAAGAACATCGTCCTAGTACATAACCATGGCACGCATTTAAACTGTTGATTACCTATTGATTGAATTCTCTCTTGACTATTTATCGAGTTATGTGTCAGTTCCTGCTTCGCTCATGTTTCTCTCTCAGTTGATACGTCAAATGACGCTATTCCTTCATCTCTCCCTTTTATTACTTCCAGGCGATAATTTAAGATCACAGTAGCTAGGTGATCTGTGAAAGTGATAGAGATGGGGAGGTACAAGATGTATATATAGCAAGAAGCATTGATAACGAGAGCTTGCATGGGGGGCACTCCCAAAGGCCCGAGTAGAGGAAATCAACCGAGGATTAGGCGAATCGAGGCATACTGATTGCAGTGCACGGGCCAATTCAACCCCACCACCACAATGCAGCAGCAATGGTATCTGTCAACCTTCGTGGGTACCTCTCCCACTGGCGACCTAAGCTTCGTATTGAGGCTGCCTACAATCATCCTGAAGTGCGTCCTGGATTTGCGATTCTCTGGCTAGCCGTCGACCGAACTCACCTCGTATCACCTCCTTCCCCTTGTCCACATTGAAAGCCATCGGTCAAAGTCGCGCTATCCTAATTCTGCGTTCTCTGTCTGCCCATAGATCTGTCGGAGCGCAAGCTCGCCGCATCCCTCTCAACGTCTATTGCTTCGGCTAGGTGCCCCGATCGCTGTCAAAATGGAAGAGGCGCTCCTCTACTTCGAGCACGACAACTATGCGTCCGACGAGGTCTACGACAAGACCGTCAAGAATCACATCACAAAGATTACCCGCCTGTTTAAGGACCAGACGTCTGCTATTGTTGCCAACGCCCCGCAACTGCTCCAGGTTCGTCGTCGCCGTCCCCTACAGTTGGCCATTTGATGTTGCTAACTGGGGTTCTGCAGATTGTCAAACCCGACAGACACTCAATCTCGCACCTCGCGATTCTGAACACGCTCAAGCACATCGACGAGGCTTCCTTTCCGATATCAGTCGATACCTTCCGCGAGCATGTCGCTCGTTTCTTGCTGTCATACGACGCTCGGCAGATCCGCTACGTCGGTGACGTCTTCTACGACTTGGTCAAGGATATTGTGGAATGCAAGCTCTTCCCGGTAAGATACTTGCAATCAGGCATACGTCGTTTTATTGACGATGTTCTTCTGGGTGATAGGCGCGTCAGTCGATCGACCTCGTTGTTGCTGCCTTAAAGCGACTTGATCCGGACTCCGCTATGCTCACGAGCCTCCACCTCGCCGTGGTCAAGCTAGCTTATGAGACGGAGAACTGGGACGAAATCCTGCCGATTATCGAGAAACCTTGGGTGTTTCTTCCGGGCATGAAGGATCAGGCTCGTTCAAAGTATCTTTGTGATTTGACGGCTTCACCACCCGCCTACATTAGCCCATCCACACAACTGACAGAGCATCTAACCCGCGAAAACGTGATGGAGCACGAATACGTTTCTGCCATGATCTTCACGGCCAAGAAAAAATGGACAAACGCACATAATGCATACCAGAGAATCGTCACTTGGCCCTCAAGAGAGTCGTCCGTGAGCAAGTTGATGACCGACTCGCACAAGCGGTGGATCCTTACCGGCCTCTTAGCCCTTGGCCAGGCACCAACACTCCCATCCCAAATCAGTCCAAGCGCCCAAAAGTCTTACGCAGCCCTTTCGAAGCCCTATGCGGATGTGGCAGCTCAGTTCTCGACTACCAATGTGGAACAGCTCAAAGCCGAGATTGAGAAAGGAGCAGAAACGTGGGTAACTGATCAGACGACTACTCTCATTAAGGAAGTCGTCATGGCCTACCAGAAATGGCAGATCCTTGGTCTCGCCGACGTGTTTCACAAGATCGGCATCTCAGAGATCCGCCAGCAGACACTTAGCGCCGAAACTGCCCGGAATCTTGGGACCGATGGCGAAGTTGAGGAGCTTCTACAGGAGATGGTCAACATCGGAATGCTCCAGGGGTCACTGGAGGCCGGTCCCGATGGTACCAAGTGCCTCACTTTCCTCCCAAGCGACAAGGAGATCGAGTACACTGAGTACCAGAATAAGATCAAGGATAACTCGCGCATTAAGACGCTCGACAAGCTCACTGAGGTGAGCGACGCTCGCCTAGCAGCGTCCAAGGACTACGCCAAGCACATACTTCGTGAGCAGAAGCGGCAGGACAAGGACGGTGGCCAATCTCAGAACGTCGAGCTTGGCTTTGATGCATCTATCGAGGATGAGGATCTCATGTCTGGTCTCCGGCAAGACTGAAAGAGTCACGCAGTGTTGGCTCAACTAATATCCACAGACTTATTCTGGATGAAATGTCGACATTTTCCGACAACGGCTCCGTACCTTATTTTCACGAACTAACGAAGACAAAGAAAGCGAGGTGAATCTCTACACATGAGGAGGAAGGGGAAAAGGGGGGGGGGGGGGGGGGGGGGGGGGGACGTAGATACTGCGACGCCACGAGGGTTGTTACATTCGGCATGGCTTTGAGAGACGACAGGTGGTGGGCATCAGGCCGGCGTTACGAGATTAGGCTCAACAGGGAAATCAAATGCTTACTGAAATGAGGCATCATCATTAGCATCACATCAGGGCGAGCTCGAGTTTGTACGACTCGAAACTATAGAAGGTCAGAGAAGAATGGTGTTCTCGTCCGCCATTAGTACTTTCCCAGCTGAAGTATAACATTTGATATTTGTGTGACCGCCGGTCTCTTGCCTCGTAGCTCATCATATTCTACCCACCTGTCCCCATCCCATCCTTTTCCTTTCATTCTCCGCCTGTGAGCGTGACTTTCACGCTGGCAATATGGTTATTTCCTTCCCGTACAATACACGTACACCACTGTTCTACGAGCTGATGCCGAACTGCTTGATGAGCTCCGCGAGCTTGGCTCCCTCGGCCTTGTAGTCGATCGGACTTGCGCCCATGACTTGATAGCGTATTCTGGGAAGAAAAAGTTAGCCTCGTTACAATCTAGAGTCTAAAGACGAAGCGGCATACCTCTGTGAGTCGCCGAAGGTGTCCATCTTTGCACGGCATCGGAAGTTCAGCTTGCGGCAGTTCGCTTCCTCGAAGGCCTGGGCCATCTTTGTCTCGTCCTCCTCCCGCAGGGCCATGAGCTGATCAGCCGACATGCCCATAATGACGCGGCCGACATCGTCAAAGCAGCTTAGCCACAGCTGGTTGGTGTGGTCGCACACGTTGACTGACATGATGTAACGGTACTCGGGCTTGGGGTGGGACACGTCGCACTTTTCGCAACGCCAGGTGCCGTCGCCCATATCAGTGACCTTCTTGCTGCACCCCTCGTTCATGCACGCAGGGTAAGCGAAGTTGTCCTGTTTGATGTAGACGATGGTGGCCTTAAGGTTGAAGTAGTCCTGTTGCTCCATGCCGAGGTTTTCCTCCTTCACCTGGAGGATGGACTTGTCCTGGTCCTTGCGACCAGTGGCGTTGCCCATGCTAACCATGTTGTTGTGGCTGCTGAACGTATCGTTGCGGCCAGATGAGTCATACCAGCCCTTCAAGCGGTGAGCATCAGGAATATCTGGGTCGATAGACATCGTGCCCGAAGAGAGCAGACTGAGACTACGACCACCAAAGTCTGATACTTTTGTACCCTTAAAGGCCACCACAGACTCGGGCTTGGCGTCAAAGTTAGTGGCGCTCTTGCCCCAGATGGTGACACGAACAGAGTAATTTGTGTCATCCACCAGTGTGAGCTCACGCTTCTCATAAGGCTTGCCTGTCGACTTGGACACGATTTGAGACACCTCATCAACATCCTTGAGAACACCAATAATATCCACAGTCGCATCCTTCTCAACCTCCTGAAGCTCTTGTATGTTGCAGAAGTTGAACCGTACCTGAGGCACGCTACTCTGATCCTCAGCCTTCTCGATCACGGTATCGCGCTCAAAAGTGAGCTCGTAGTCGTTCGGCAGGTTTGTGAACTGCTTCTTGGCCAGTTGGACCTTGCAGGGGCTGGAGATATAGTAAACGCCTCCCTCCTGGAGCATATCGTAGTACTGGTCGACCTGCTCGTTGAAGCCGGTGGCCTTGATCTCTCCACTCTCATCAAGCAGGTTAACACTGAAGAGCTTGCCTTCGCCACTGGGCTTGTGCCATGTCCGAATATCAGACTTTTGTGTGACACGAGCCTTGATGGTCCACTTGTGAGCGTAGGGGGAGAGAGCTTCGATAGGGTAGATGTTGCTGCTTCCGTGTTGGCCGGTCGCTCCTCCGGCAGAGCGAGAGGATATCGATTGTTGGGGCTTAGGCTTTGTCTCTTCTTGTTTAACACCGTAGAAATTCTGTCCGCCGATGGTAGTGTTTGCAGCTGCAGGAGGCTTTGCTTCGAAGGGCTGGGGCTCGCCAATCTTGTCTGGTGTGCCCAGCTGCTCAATGACCTCGAGTCCAAGGATGATCAAGATACTGGCACATGGTTAGTTCAAATTCGATGGCTTTATACGGGTAATCGGAAGCACGTACTTCTTGCCCTTGACAGAGTTTGCCTGGTACTGAGTGATTCGCACGATGCAATTTCTGACCAGCTTGTTCTCGTGAACGACATGGTTCACTTGCGTCGCCAGCATGCACTGGACGTAGTTGTTGACATCACTCAACACGATACGGTATCTCTCGGCACCGCCTCCTGCTTGCGCAGCCAAGGGCTTGATCTGCAGGCACTGGAGAACGGGGACCGGGAACTTCGCGTTGGCACCTTCGGGGTCGTTGAAGACGGCGCTGCAGACGCGGAATTAGTACGAGAAGATAGAACAGGAGAGTTTGACAAATGCACTTACTCCAAGGCACCTTTCGTGATCTTTGATTCGACATCCATTTCAAATCAGACGGAAGCGTGGTTATCTGGTGCAAGTCTGTCGGCTGAAATTAGGTAGGATTCAGAGGGTTGCTGCAAGTTCTTGCGCGAAGTGCGAGATGGCAAAGACGCGTCGACCGCGTTCTGATCAATTAAGAATGAGGGGCTCTTAGGTAAGCTGGCTACCTACTGGGGGGTCCGTGTCGTGTGCGGAACTTTACGAAGGTACCTAGGTAGGGACCTAGTACGTACCGGCACCAGGCAATCGCTCGCGGGGCAGCTACAAGCATGAGCTGAGACGTCATCCCTGACAGAGTTCCATGTACCGTACGCAGTGCTCCGTACACGTACTAAACAGGCCCGATCCTAAGGGCACACGTACGGACTCTGTCGTCGCACGCCAAGGGAGACAAGTAGTTAGGTTGACAGCGTCTGTTGCATTCCTCGGTTCACCCTCAACATCACTGCCGTGTCTAGCAACTACGCTCAAGTCTCCCATCTCCCGCAGCTCTTTTCCTTGCACCACAGTGCTATCTGTACAAAAGTCCTTACTCCACTCGTCAAGATGACCCAGCTCGACATTGCGACCAAAGCTCCCGAGAGCGATGCCGCCGAAAGTGTCACCGAGCCCGTAACCGAGAACACCTCCGCCGCCGACACGCCGGCCCAGTCAACCAGCCCTACTACGACTACGGGAGGCGCTGGAGAGCACAGCGAGCATTGCGTGTCGGATAGACCAGCTCGTGAGTGCTCTTGTGAAGTCACCGACCGTTTGCGCGATACTAACTTGAGTCAGCGGCCGGTCAGTCTTCGACTGGCGAGATCATTAAGATCAACGACGTGGAGGTAACTTGACTTTTGCTTGTCTTCCCTGGCAACTGTCAGTCCTGGATCGCATTTTGCTGACCTTGCGCAGACATACATTTCGAAACCCGCCGACTATCCTCATGCGCCAGCCAGGCTTCTGCTCCTGTTGACAGGAGGCACAGGCCTGAAGTCGGTAAACAATCAGCTTCAGGCCGACAAGTTCGCCAGCGAGGGCTTCGTAGTGGTCATGCCTGACCTCTTCAACGGCGACGCTGCACCCAACTCTTCCACGATTGATAGCAGCGAGGATACTGGGTCGTTCCTGGACGCCTTTAAGATGAAAATCGTCGAGACAGCGAAAAGCTTCCAAATTGACATGTGGCTGGCGCGACACACGGAAGAGAAGGTCCTACCAATTCTTTACAAAGTTATCGAGGGTGCCAGGGAGAAGTTTGGGGATGCGGTCAAAAACGGAGACGGTATCTATGCTGTCGGTTATTGCATTGGAGGACGTTACATTCTACATCTGGGCTCGGACAAGAAGGTTGCGACTGGAGGCCAGGAGCCTGCTGATGCCGAAGCTGGTGAAGTCAAAACTGGTCCTTTCATCAAGGTCGGTGCGATAGCACACGGTGCCTCTGTTATTCCCGATGACTTCACCGGCATCAAGGTGCCTATATCGCTCGTCTGTGTTGAGAATGATCCTCTCTTTCCTGAGGAGGTCAGAACATTCGGTGAGGACGTCATGTCCAAGGCGAACTTGGAACACGAAGTTCATGTCTACCCTGGCGTGCCGCATGGTAGGGCTGTTGTTTCCAGATCAGTCTTGTTGATTTGCTAACCATTCCTCAGGTTTCGCTGTTGTTGGCGAATATCAGGACAGTTCGATCAAGGACGCTCAGAACACCGCTTACGAGCAAATGCTGAAATGGATCAAGGAGCACTAGAACAGTGGCGAGAGAACGTTTGCGTGTTTGTTATCAACGGCCTTTGCTTCTGGCATGGGGGGAGGTCCATATCGCAACCTATGATTATCCCAGTTTTCTGGTCGAGCTTCTTCTACAGTTCAAGGGATATTATATCACTACTATGAGATTCCTCCTGTACGCCTACCCCCGTGTCTTCGTACTAGTGACTCAACATTCAATCACATGTTTGCAAGCCCGTCCAGCTATTGCGCACACACATCTTCCTAGCGCCTTTGGAACTCAAGTCGTTGCGATCAGATGTAAGTGCTGTCATGGAACTATGTTCAGTTGAATCATCCAGTGCTGAAGTCGCGACTGAATAGTTAAGCGTAATGTGAATTGTGAGCCACTGTTCCAGTAGCGGTTGTGAAGATCGGTCGTTTCCGCTGTATGGCCTATTCAAGGCGTTCCTCCATCGTCGCGTGGTGTCTCGTGCAAGATGTTGCGCGTTGGGTATGCAGGCCACCCCGATTTCCGTGCAAAGTTCAATGGTTGATCAAATGGTTGCCCCTCGGGCATCAGTTGTACGCCGGCGAGGATCAGTCAAGGGCGCCACAAACTTACAAGGCTGAATTGCATCTACCGGTCGCATTCATCGACGTTGCAAAGTACATCATGTTGCGTAGCTAAACAATTCTAACCATCGCGGGGCTACTACGGTCTCATCGCACAAGCTTCCACTCGCGAGGTGGAAACACCAACAATATACCAATACCGAACATAGTAACCATAACGATCTTCTTCTTCTTCTTCTTCTTCTTCTTCTTCTTCTTCTTCTTCTTCTTCTTCTTCTTCTTCTTTAGGTTCAGTTTATAAAGCTGTGTCAAGGGGAAGAGGAGCATTCAGACGTCGAGTGAGATGCTGTTGCCGCCGTGCGCAATGCCCATCTTTCTAAGGTTGATAGAGTCAGCATTATGAGGCCACGATAATGGTAACAATCACAAGCGCCTACGAGCGCCCAGAGGCTGGATAAAACTTCAAAGCAGGAATGAATGGGGTGAGCTTCCGGTGGCAGGGTGAACGATTCCAAGCCATGTCGTCGGATTTCGCTTAGTACATACAATAGTACACGGCGGAACGAGTATCCCGCAACCCCGGTACATCCCGTCGTTCTCTTTGCCGCCAATGGGACCTGATGTGGCATGTCGAAGACGGCGTTGATTATACTCGAACTGGCGCGTTCTACCGTGGCAGAGCCCCCACACACACCTCGTCATTTTCGCATCGATCTATAAGACTGCCAGCCAACCTTCTCGGCAATGTTTGATCTCCTCTGCGTATGAACCCTTTACAGAGAGGTGAACACGCACGACGAAGGCGTCGGAGGGATGGCTGGCCCGTGAGAGAACCATAAGTCATTCACCTGCCATGCACAGGAATGTCTCACACCTCCTCTCGGCAAGCTAATCATGTTCAAACTCATCAGTGTAACCAAGTACGCCGGTTTGGTTCGATTGACTTATGCAGCTGGACACTCAGACCCTCTAGGAGATTGTACAGATAATCTTGCCCGAGTTCTTGTTCGCCTCCAATAGCCCATGAGCGTCCTGGATCTTCTCCCAGGGCAGCACTGTATCAATGACGACCTTGAGCTTGCCTGTCTTGAAGTGCGGCACGTACTCCTCAAGCCTATCCCTTAGCTTGCCCTGGTACTCGACGTCCCTGCTCCGCAACGTGCTGCCTTCGAGCCTGATCCTCTTGTACAACAGCGGACCGATATTAGCCCCTTCAATGTTGGGTCCGCCCAGCAGACCAAGCATAACAATTCGTGCGTCTCGTGCTGCGACGTCGAGGTTCTTCTGGAAGTAGCTGCCGCCGACGAAGTCGACAATCACGTCGACACCTTTGCCGCCCGTCGCCTCCTTGATCTTCTCAGCCCAGTCCTCCTCCTTGTAGTTGAAGGCCGCGGTGGCGCCGATCTCGCCGACAACAAAGTCGCATTTCTCCTTAGACCCGGCTGTTGCATAAACGGCAGACGCGCCAGCATCCTTGGACAGTTGGATTCCCGCGATGGAGACGCCTGAGGCGCCGGCATGCCAGAGGACAGATTTGCCCTTAGAGAACTCGCCCACGAGGAAGAGTGCCTGCGTTGCCGTGATCCAGGTCTATTTTTCACGTCAGCCATCGAACTTTCTACGAGAGACTGAGGAGAAGAAGAAGAAGAAGAAGAAGAAGAAGAAGAAGAAGAAGAAGAAGAAGAAGAAGAAGAAAATCAAAGCGGTGTTTACCTCAGGGATACCGGCAGCCTGCTCCCACGACAGAAAGTCCGGCTTGTGCAGCAGCATCTTGCTGTTGACGGCGATGAACTCAGCGTAGGCACCGCCGTACGCGAGGCCGAAGACCTCGTCCCCGACCTTGAAGTCCCCGTGTTCGCCGTCGCCGAAGGACTCAATCGTCCCACTGAACTCGACTCCCAGTGTCTTGGGCGCCTGGGGCGGGAGCGGGTACATGCCAAGACGTTGGATCTGGTCCATGCGGTTGATGCCGAAGGCCTTGATCTTTACCAGGGCCTCGCCGCTGCCCGCTGTCGGCTTGGGCGTCTCATCGTTGATGAAGAGACTTTCCTTGGGCCCCTTCCCATCCTTGATGTCTGTTGTATTTGTCAGCCACTGTCAGTCGAGTTTACGATGCAGGTGCGACATACCGACTGCTCTCATTTTAGAAGCCATTTTCTCAAGACTGTAAAGGTTTCGGGTCTCGGGAACGTGTAGTTGGGGAGCGGCTTTATGAGGAATTACGAGGTTTGCCGCCGTCGTCAAATAGTTGTCATCTCACTGAGGCTCCCATGTGGTTCCCCTCGATGACGTGCCCCGGCTCCACTGACTAATCCACTCCGAGCAACGCCGTACCCCTCCGTTACCGATTCCGATATTCCCGTGCCGTGTCCGTCCATGTCGCAACAGTCGCTCCGATCCAGTGACCATTGTTTATCGCTGCTAATCCCGTGAATGTCCCTGGAGTTCAACAGTTTAGCATCCATCTCCTCTGACACAGTCTGGAGGGTCTACATGTGGTCGCTCCGGCCGGGACAAGATACAATGATCCCGAGTCCCTGTCATGGTTCGCGTTTCCGAGACACCTCTGTTACCTTTCTCATTTAAGTGGTACCATAAGAACTGGAAAAAAGGGCAAAGGACTGGTGGCACAGCTGGCTGACTCGGCTTGACTTACACTGACGTCTGCTCTCACTGCAGAAGTCTTTGCGCCGAGGGACTTCAAGCCACCTGCTTGCACAAGCGCAAGACGCATGGATTAAAAGAGGGATAGAACACAGATCATGTTGAGGCCAATGGTTTCTCGGAAATCAGGTTTAGGAGCTGACCAGTGTGGTTGTGGTACGGCGGCGCGATGCAAGGCTGACTATTAGCTCGTTTTGATATGACCTGCTCTTTGAAAATTTCCCCTTTTTGCCAATCGACGCCAGCATGGTCCTCACGTACTCCCCGAGAAGAATCATGTACTCGCTGAAGATAATTACCTAACTAGTTGGTCTGGATTTTCCGCGTCAACACTTGCTGATACACTAGCATGTTCCACGCCGGTATGTAAACGGAGCCGTTGAGAACTCCGAAAGGGTAGGCAATGTCCGATTTTTGAACTCGCTCACCTCTATCCTCCTACTATTATAAAACCACTAACAGATAGAGAGTACGGGTCTGCTGCCGAGGTCTCTATCAGTTCTGTCGCAAAGCTGCCATCGAGCGCTTCGAGTTGCAGTCTAGAAGCTAGAAGCATAGATTGGCTGTTTCCGAAACCCGGCATGCGTGGCCTGGTCGTGGAGCCGAAAGACGAGGTGGTTGCGGGTTACCAAACCATGCCAGAGAATAGCCCATGGAGAAAGTGACGAGGGCAACCTCGGCTAGGTTGTGATGCAACACCACCTCGGGAACGGGATGCCAATCATGCGCCTGGATGGGAAGATACGAGATTGACCGCAAGGAGAAACAAGGAAAGGTCAATAGTACCAGAGTGTGGCAAAACGCCAAAGTCAAAACAACATAACGCAAAGGCTACTGACTCATTCGCGTCTTCTGGCTTAGTCGACGAGCCGATTCGGAAATAGTTGGCATCGAAAACCCCCAAAATGGAAGGAAGCTGCAGGTACAATCCCAATCTGACCTCGTTCTACGGAGTACACCAACTGCAAGCTGGCGGAGGAGGCGGAGAAGGATGAGGAGGAGGGGTGGGAGTGTGACGACTGACCAATAGTCCCAACTGTATTAATGTCCAAAGGTCTGTGTTTATGTGGAAATTGGATGATGGCCAAGTGGTACCCCAGAGTGGCCAAGCCATTTCCAAAATCGTTGCACAGGCTACCCACATCATAAAGACGACCAGGGCAAGTGACCCGCTGCAGCATTCTGGGCCGTTTGGTCACTGGCGCTTGCAAGCGACTCGTACATGCGAAAGATCCGGATTCGCTTTAGTGCATCCATCGAGGGAGCTCCAGGTTCCGATCGTGTTCTATGGGGGAGCTAGTCATGGAGCTGCCGCCTGCCGATAACCCAACACAGCCGGCTGGAACCGGATGTCGATTCCGAGATTTCAAGAGAGCTCCCAAATTAGCCATCACCAATGGTCAGCGTCTTAGTCGTGTCCCGTCCTGGTGGCTGGGCCGGATGCTGCGGTCGACAACGGGATGGCTGTAAGGCTATGGGATGTCAAAAGCTTTTTCCCAGTCCGTTTGCCTTAGTACCAGGAGATAGGAGATGGGAGGTGTGTATGATGAAGCAGCACAGAAAGGGCCACTGCCCTAAAAGGGGAAGGCATAAGCTTAAGAGCATACTGTGGGTACAGGTTGTGCAGAGCAGAGGGTATTCCGCGGCACGCTTGTTGTTGAAGTTGGATGTCCACGTGGTTCGAGCCTGTGGACAGGCCGCCTGCTGTTTTGCTAATTTACAGCGTGGTACCGGATCTCGATACGAAGACAGACGACTCTCGATGATCAACGATGATTTACCCCGAGCGATAAACATATCGCGTTCTCCGCCTTTCGTCTCCGCTAGCGTTGGTTCAAACGGCGCAATACTATGTATTTCAGCACTAGAGTAGAATCAGGGCCCAGCGGGCTGTCGTCGAGTCGTCTTCGATGACAGGGAAGTCTGAAGCTGTGATGACGGAAGGTCCCGGGTCTCCGGGGGCTTTGGGGCACCATTCAATCAATTCCCTGCGTCGATGAGACACTGGCATGTGCAAAATAATAAGGCAAACAAAAAGTTTTTAACAAAAATTCCGGAGTAACCACGAGGCCCTGGTCCGCTAGCCAGGGTGGGTTGTTAGGAACCTCAGACCTGACGTTTCTCCTTGATTTAGGGCAGATCCGAGGCCATCCGTCCAATGTTTGACACTCTGACCGTCGCTTGTTGTTTGCGCCCAACCGCATGGTTCTCGGACGAACAATGTCAAATACGGAAGCTTCACCTGGAACGAGTTCGCCTGGTATGCTTTGCCGGTGCTTGGTCGCTTCTTAGCTTGCGGGCAGTGGACGCAAACGTCATGAACTCGACAAGAACGGGTCGAGGATGCCCTGACTGAAAATGCGGGAACCGATATAGGATGTCGGGAAATTGGTAGAAAGAGGGGAAGATAGAAGACAAAGCATTTGGCCTTGACTCGGCCGCGGCATATTCTTCCTCGTCGTTTGCCCCAGGGCCTCGGTCAAGTGGCCAACCATAACTGTTGCGAGTTCAATTTCCCTCGAGATTACCCTTTCTCCGCTTTAGGTAGTCGAGCTTTCCGTTGTCACCACCCCCCAGCTCCATCTCCCTTTCCCCCCTTCTTCCCGCAACATTCAAGGACAAGACAATTGCAGCTGTTCAAGTGCACGGCGTGGCACAGCATGAGAAGGAACCACGAGAAGCTGCCCTACTCCTCAACGGGCGCAGCATGGCCCAACGCCCTGTAGTCTCGTGGTCGGTTTTTGCATAACGCGAACGGGCAAAGCCCGTGGCGCTGATGGCTTGCCACTGCCGCATGGATCTGGCCAACGGTGTCGATTTCTACCCTGGTTAGGACAAGACGCAAGCCATGGCTTTCGATAGGGGGCTTCCAGCCGCCGCGATATGCTCTCCGGGAAACCTGTTACTGGCTGCTGAGGGTTCCAGTCTCTTTATTTTTGTCACTTTCAGGTAAGCCCACGGGTTGGCAATAGCACGCAGCTCTCCAGCCCATGCCCGCCTTCAACGTTGGATTGGCGACACCGCTGCACGGTGCCTGCGTTAGTGTCTGGTCTGGTTCCTGCTTTGCACGCCGCCCATAACGCACACCAGTCAGCCGTCAGCCATCAGCGCCAAAGACGGCGGCAATTTTTTGTTTTGTTTTAGAACAAGTCCATGAGTGTACTATGTAGGTAGGTGGCTGCAGTCACATTGACGATGGCACATCTCGCGGAGGGCCTGGCGCGTCCACCGGTCGTCTGCCACAAGAAGTAAGACAGGCCCCCCCCCGGTAGAGCAGTTTGCAGTCGATTCAAAGATATGAACGGCAAAGGGCGCGCCAACAGAGAGCAGAGCGGTCTGGAATCTAGGACCACGGCTGGACACCGAGAAAACCAAACCCTGCCTCGGAGCAAGCATGACTTCCAGCATGCCAGAAAAAGCGTTGCATACATACGTGCACATGCATTGGCAATAATCGACCCACTGAAATTACTCGAGCCAACCTAACATCCGTTTCTCGGGGGTGGACTCAGGTCATCTCATCTCCGCCTCCGAACTCCTTGCAGATTGCGTGAGGTTCAATGGTTCGCAGCCAGCTGGAACCGTGGGCCGGCCACGACGCAGGGAGCGGGTGGAAGAGGTGTTATTGAACGGCGAACGGAAAACAAAGCGCAGGCGATCAAGCTGGTCAGTCACTCCTAGGGCTCCGCGCACCCGGCAACGTGCAGCTCTGAGTGGTCCATCGTGCGCCGAGTGGGGCAGACGGATAAATGACTGACTCTCCCCTTTCGGTGCATATCCTACCTAAGATGCCTTCCTAGACACTGTGTAACCGCGCTTCTATGTAGGTACTAGTAGTCACACCCCCTGTGTCCGGAGCGAGATACGTAGGTATTCAGCTTCCAGACCTCTCTTTGCTTTTCTCATTCGCTCTACACAAACACGTAACCAGAGACACAGGCACGCCCAGCTGTCGATTCCGTCTGCTGCTCGCTCGCGCAGTCCAGGGTGCCAATCACTGGGTTTGCCCAGTTCCCAAGCCAATTCTTAACTGCCTAGGTAGATACTAAAGCCACTAGCGAAGAGAAGCCGAGAAGCAGACGTGGCCCACCCCTTTCAGGCCTCTGCTTCCATGTTCACCCACCCAGGGGCAGCCAACCTTGCTCGGATACCCTGCTTCTGAATGGTCCAAAGTAAAATAAGCAGGTTCGTGAAGAGCAGAAGGGAACAGGAAAATTGGGGCACCCCCCTGCTCGGCCCTTGATAGCGTCTATCTTAGCATTGGACAAGGGGCATAATGGCGGCGTTGCTCCCCTCGCCCTCCTGGTCCAGCTCCTCTCTCATCTCCAGGCGCGATGCGGTGCTCCACCTAGTATGGCCGGGCACAGGCGCTGTCCCTGAACCGTCCCATCCTTCTCACTCCATCCCATCTCATTGCCCCGACCACAGGGCAAGGTTGCACTAAGGTGATGTGGTGTGGTATACTCCGTAGTTTAGTGTAGTAGGTGGAGACCATCACCATTCGTTACCCCATTGTTCATGCTGCGTCCATCTCCGTATATAAATGCATTTCCTCCAGGCCATCCCCTCTCGTGTTCCCCTTCCTTTCCTCACCCACACTCACTCATTCACTACCGACCCAGACTTTTTAGTCGCTTTCATTCGTTAACCCAACGCAAACTAATCGTCAACTCGCAAACAACCGCTCTTCCGAGTCTTAATAATACCAAAAACCCATCCATCCCAAAACAAACACCAAATCCGTCAAAATGAAGTTCTCCGCTGCCGCCCTTGTCCTCGCCGCCACCGGCGCCCTGGCTCACAAGAACGTCACCTACGTCACTGAGGTCGTCTCTTCCTACACCACCTACTGCCCTGCCGCTACTGTCATCACCCACGGTGACAAGACCTACACCGTCACCTCGGTATGTCGATCCCGGAAGACGAACGGAAGGGCCTTGGACGAGTCGCGGAAGAGGGTTCCTGGAGCAAGCACTGATGCTCGCGGCCTCCCCGAGACTTTGGACACGCCCCTTCCGAACACCCGTCTTCGAAAACCTCGTCGGTCGTGGCGATCAGCTAACCAATGTCTCCCTAGGCCACCACCCTGACCATCACTGACTGCCCCTGCACTGTCACCAAGCCAGTCATCACCTCCGCCGTGGTCAAGTGCGACAACTGGTTTGTCATGTCCATCTCCTTTTCGCCAGAGACTAGTAGCTAACCACCTCGATAGCGCCGCTCCCACCAAGAACGGCACCGTCCCCATCGCCACTCCCGTCATCAGCAAGCCCACTATCCCCGCCACCGGTGCCATCACCCCCACCAAGCCCGTTTCGGTCCCTACCGCCGGTGCTGGCAAGGCCGCTGCCCTCTCCGGTGCCGGTCTGGCCGGTGTCCTCGGTATCGCCGCTTTTGTCCTCTAAATCAATCACCTTCACGTCTCGCCATCCACGTCTTTCCCTACGATCTTTGACGTACGATAATGTCTGGATTCGTGGGAGCCTACGACACCTTACGACTGGAGCGCGGTTGTGAAGCATCCAACCAAACCAGGTGGGATGACTTTGGTTACGGACGGGAGTTTCGGGGGAGCAGTCTCTGGGATAGAGAGCTTGGGAGGACTACCAAAAATGACGGAGCGAAGCCACGCGCTTACGGAAGAATACCCGGTACATTTTCTTGCCATGCGTGGTACCACGGAGTGCCTCCCTCTACGTAGAGGAGGCACGGCCAAGCCAACGCAGCCCTCACAAAAGCCTGTCAATACGGCAACTTCTTGTACTTGCTTAACGAAATCCCTCCACAAACGGTTCTTGGCTCCGCTACTCTAGCGATCGCCTCATGAGGATTATTTCCGTGTGTGCGCCGTATATACCCAGTTTTTTTTTTTTTTTTTCACTTCTTTCTCGGGAGGCTTTATGGGAATATAATGCGATCACGATAGGTCGCTCTGTTGTCTCATTTTCACCCTCACGGCAGATTATCTATTGACAAGTTCCAAATTCACTTATATTCTTCTCCCGAAGGAAATGCGTTCCTTTGTGTTTTGACCGTCCGTCGCCGCCGACGCCGCCTAGCATCTGCCCCATCCCCTGTTGTGTATGGCTAGTTTATGTACATCACTTGTATGACCGCGGGCTATGTAGAGGAACCAGTCTTTTCTGGCAAGATGCTATGAGTTTATGGTCTCTCTGACCACGCCCAACCGTGCTTGCCTGAGGAATTGCTCGAATACGGAACATTCCCTAGAGATCCATTTTGGTCCAGGACGGGAGTCTCGAGATGACCGCAGGATCCTTGAGGGGGAACCGTATGGGCAGGCCTGTTTCACGGTCTTTCATGGTTTCGAGTTCGCCGTCGACATGCAAGCAACAAGGTTCCTTGCCGAACACCCTCCCTCCGGCTAGACCTACTAGAGAAACAATGAGAAACAACTGTCTCGATTTAGGCTTATCTAAGTTTGCAAGGTCGTCTAGTCCTCCCGTTTCCTCGAACGCCGAGAACCCCGAGACATACCCAGCGCGCGGCATCTTGCGACGGGCCGTTTGAGGACGGACGCCATCTGGATCACCTGGCGTGCGTGCCATTTTCTGTCTCTCTCTCTCTCTCTCTCTGCCGCCCGAGGTCCTCCCGGTCCGTTGGCGCGGGCGTCGCTCGCTCTCTTTGACTGCCAGCCAATATGGGCACCGAAATAGGTTCCAGGACCAGAAGAATGGGGTTAATGGTTCGGCCCCGAGCGCGCGGGACCTGCGAGATGGGATCCGAGGTTTGCGGATACGGTGATTAGGAGGGGTCGCCCTGCTCGTTCATTTCGCTTGGGCTGAGCGTGCATTCTCAGGAAGCCCGTATACCTAGTGAGTTGTGTCCTTGGGAGGGGCGCAGTCCGGCTTTTCTTGCGCCATTGCCGTGCCACATTCCTCGAGTGCGTACGAGCGCAGTCTTGGAGCATGTCTTGGATGCTTCTTGGGTGGTTCTTGGAGGAGTGGCAAACGCCTCATGCTAATTCCTTTGCCTAGGACCCAAAGGGAAAAGTGTGTGTATGTGTGTGTGCGTGTGGTGGTGTGTCACTCCGTTGCATCCCTTCGAATAAGGTTGTTTTGTTTACTGGTTGGTCCCCCGAAGGGCCTCAAAGGGGGGAGTGACCCCTTTTCCTAGTTCCATTCTGCCGCGCTCATGCACTGTACCTGCGTCTTGCAGGGCTTAGGGGAGTTAGGGGGTGTGCGCTACAGCCACGTGACGAGTTTGAAGTATAGTATATTGGATGACAGGGTCCATGGACCACCCACTGCTGAGTTGTCTCCAGACTAGGTACGTACCTTGCCAACCCGGTTTATCGTTCAGCCTGACTGACAATGCAGCTAAGCAACGCATTGGTTTCGGCAATACATGGCATGTGGACAAGAAAAACAAGGCGAAATACAGCAAAAAACATACCGGTAGTCTGTCGCGCAGAATACTCGTTCATCCACTCTTAACTCTGGAGAATGTGGAACAATCCGATGACCAAGTAAGGTTTTCCCTTCAAAGGACGCACGCCCACCCCCGACCTTCCTCACAGTGAATGCGATATGCATATAAGCGATTCTATGATGCAGCAAAACCCATCAGCAAGTCCCGGGATGCGAGATGGACCCAAGCGAGATTGGCAGCCCCTCTGTGCTTCGCCACGTCGATCGTCGTTGATTGGATTTCCACGAATGTCAAGAGCCCAGACCCGTAAAGGAAACCAGTGCCGGGAGAGAGTTGTCAGATGGACCCGTATGCTGGGGTTTTCCCTGGACATACACGGGCACGGCAATCTGCCCAGTCTTGGAGAGGGAGGGTCTCGTTCCGCGTGTCTTGAGCGGTTTCTGGACGGCGACTGAACTCAGGTCGCCGCCCTGCATAGAAAAAAGCAGCGCCATGTCGCGCCGTCGACGGAGCCGGACGCTGCCTGGGATGTGGCCGGGGAACCTAGTTCCCCTTGGCCGCTCCTTGCGTAGACCTGTCTCTTGTTGATCTTCCGGCCTCCTTGCAGCGCAATTCGCCGGGCAAGGAGCAGATGGGAGGGATTTTCGCGAGGTGTCCACTCGATTCTCAACGCAACACTGTCAGAAAAAGATGGTTCACGAAGACGACATTGTCGCCGGGAGCTTCGCGGAATGCTCGTGGACGACCGTCGGATTTTTATGACTACGGAACTGAGTGGTAGCAAAGATGTTTTCCCGGGACACCGGGCTTTCGTCGTTGCCTTACTGACAAAAACACAAACTCGAACGTCTTCGAGCACTCCGTCATAGCCGTGTCCCAAAACACTTGGCTCGCTCAAGTTTGAGTGGTTCTTCGGACCAGCGATGCTATTAAGCCCTACCTCGTAGAAGCATCATCGGCAAGAGACCTGCGGGAGGAATGAGCCTTGTGGGGGAAGCATGGTGGGGATCGGGATCGTGTATATAGTAGATTGAAGCAATGCTGACCTCGCTCCGTAGATCCCTTCCTCGGTACTATGGCCGGGTCGACGGGTGAGCACAACAGCTTATATACAAATGTTTGATGGTCGCGGGTGTACGGAATACGATGTGACTTTTGAGGCTTGATGGTGGGAAATGCAAACACTGGATTCATTCAACCCTCGGAAGTATTCGCTTATTAAACTCGCCCCTCATCCCCGCAGGGTCCCCGGGATGGAGTTCGGCTGGCGGAGGCGGGGGTGGTCAGCCCCCATTGCTACCCCGGGCCAACGGAATGCGGGGGAAGCTTGGCCGCCAGGACCGTCCTCAACAGTTTGGAAGGAGCACGTCAGCAGCTACACCAACAGACACGCCTTGTAGCTCAAACCTCCAAACTTCCAGTCGCTCAATTATTTAAGAGATCTGGGCTTGGCGGATATACTTGGCCAAGAGCCTCGTAGTAGTGACCTTGTAAAATTTATACTGTGTCTCGTTGCCATTTTTTGATTGCAAACCCATTGTTTTGCTCAGATTCTCATCTCCCCGCCGTCTGTCATCCGCCAACGGGGCCATACATACACCGAATCCGCAATGGGCAGCTTGCACCCTCAGGACGAAGTTCTGCGCCGTTCCCTCGAGGACCCCGAGGGATTCTGGTCTCGCCAGGCCGAGCATCTGCACTGGCACAAGAAGCCCTCGTCCACATTGAAGGTCGCCCACAAGACGCTCAAGGGCGGTGTGACCCACAAGACCTGGGAATGGTTCCCAGGCGGCGAGATCTCGACCTGCTTCAACTGCATCGACCGCCACGTCCATGACGGAAAGGGCGATGCCCCGGCCATATTCTACGACAGTTCCGTGGCCAACACGAAGCAGACCATCACATACAAGCAGCTGCTTGACGAGGTTGAGGTCTTTGCCGGGGCACTGAGGGAGGAAGGAGTAAAGAAGGGCGATGTTGTCCTGCTTTACAGTAAGTCTCATCATCATCCCACGAGCTAATAAGACATGCGCGTCGCAATGAGCTCACCCACGGTTAAGTGCCTATGATCCCCGCGGCGCTTATCGGTATCCTCGCCCTCAACCGCCTGGGCGCCATTCATGCCGTGGTCTTTGGTGGCTTCGCTCCCAACGCCCTCGCACAGCGTATAGAGGCCTCCCAGCCCGTGGCCATCCTGACAGCCTCGTGCGGCATCGATGGCAACAAGCCGCCAGTGAGCTATAAGCCCCTCGTCGAGGAGGCATGCCGGATCTCCACGCACAAGCCCGACAAGGTCGTTGTGTGGCAGCGCGAGCAAGTGCGGTGGCACCCTATTCAGAGGAACGACGGCGAGAGGAATTGGCAGAGCATCGTCAAGAGCTGCCGCGCAAGGGGCGTCAAGGCCGACTGCGTGCCGGTGAAGTCGACAGATCCCATATACATCATTCACACGTCGGGGACGACGGGGTCGCCGAAGGGGGTGGTGAGGGACGCTGCAGGGCACGCTGTGGGGCTGCATCTTTCCATAGGTTATATGTTCAACATTCACGGCCCGGGGTGCGTGTCTTTTACAGCATCAGATATTGGCTGGGTATGTCATTGCAGGTCGTCTATTCGCATGTGCTACTTCTGACACTGATACAGGTTGTCGGCCACAGCTATATCGCGTATGCCCCCTTGCTAACGGGCGCCGCCACAGTCCTATACGAAGGAAAGCCTGTAGGAACACCGTCTGCCTCTGCCTTCTGGCGCATCGTAGAGGAGTACAAGGTCAACACCATGTTCACGGCGCCCACGGCCCTGAGGGCCATCAAGCGGGAAGATCCCGACAACAAGTTCTTTAGGCAAGTAGGGGAACGGGGTGGCCTCAAAACACTCAAAGGGCTTTTCCTCGCGGGAGAGCGTTCCGAGCCAGCAATTATCACCATGTATCAGAAACTCCTCAACACCCATGGCGCAGCCGACGCCCAGGTCGTAGATAACTGGTGGTCGACGGAAGCTGGCTCGCCCATCACCGGGAGGGCTCTCGTGCCGTACGTTGCCATGGATCGGAGAACGGGCGTTCGCAATCACCCCCCTCTAAAGATCAAGCCGGGTAGCGCCGGCAAAGCGATGCCTGGGTTTGATGTCCGGATCGTGGATGACGAAGGCAAGGAGGTCCCCAGGGGTACAATGGGCAATATTGTACTTGGGCTTCCCCTGGCTCCAACGGCGTTCAGGACTTTGTGGCAGGACGAAGAGCGGTTCTACAAAGGATATATGAAGCGCTTTGATGGCAAGTGGTTAGACACGGGCGACGCAGGCTACATTGACACCGAGGGCTACGTCAATGTCATGTCCCGTAACGACGATGTTCTGAACGTCAGCGCCCACCGGCTGTCAAGTGGTGAGTCAACCATCCCTAGATACATTCTGGACATATCCAAGGCTGACAACAAGAACAGGCGGTCTCGAACAGGCCATAACGTCGCACCCCCTCGTTGCCGAGGCCTGCGTGGTGGGCATCCCTGACGCGCTCAAGGGTCAGCTCCCCTTCGCCTTCATCACGCTCTCGACACCCGAGCATCCGGCTTCGGCGGTGCCCAATGCAAAGCTCGCCGACGAGATCAACGCGCTCGTGCGCTCGCAGGTCGGCGCCATCGCATCTCTGGGCGGACTCGTACAGGGAAAAGGCATGATCCCCAAGACGCGAAGCGGCAAGACGCTGCGGCGCGTGCTGAGAGAGTTACTCGACAACGCGGTCCACGGCGATTTCGACAAGGAGGTGCAAGTGCCGAGCACGATCGAGGATGCCGGGGCGGTGGATATAGCGAGAGACAAGGTGAGGGAGTATTGGAAGGTCAAGGGGAGTGGGCATAAGAGCACGGAGGCTAGGGCGAGGCTGTAGGTGGGTTGCAGCTACATGAACATACATGAAATCTCAATCTCCTCCCTTGCTACATGGCATGGGAGGTCAAGAGCTTTTCTAACGTGATATAATCTTGTCTTGCGCGCCTTTGGTTTGGAGATGGACAGCTATAATGCACAGAATTTGTACAGATGATATAGAGAGATGAAGGTACAAAACCAAGCAGCGTCCGGTATGAAACGGCGTAAACAGGATCTGTGGAGAATAAAGCCATATGTCAAGCATCCAACTACTACTTAGCAACAGTAAAGGGAAATTGGTCCTTCAATCAGTTTTATCTTGAGAAAGTCTCATCCCAACAAAGTGCCAAAAGGGTTGCTTTGTTCAGGTCGCTCAAAGCACCTCTATCCGGGGGATAGATAGCAAGGAAATACTATATAAATTTAGGAACCTATAATGAGTACGACCGGGACTAGATCGACTTTAGGTGACATGCTTCATTGTTTAAGGTCAGAAAGGGCAAATCTAGGCAATAGCGGTTGAACTTGGGGAATTCATTGTGACATTTGCTATATCTGTGGCACGAACAGCACTGTTCTTCTGGGGTGCCTCTCCGGTGGTATATTGGTTCATTGGAACCGACATCGGAAGACGGTATATTCCTCTTGTGAAGGCTCTGGTTTTCCTGGGCGTCATCGGCCAACTGTGAGAGGAGTATGTAAAACCAACTAGAATCTCGAAAGTCACGTTAAGAACGAACCGGGAACAAGGCTGAGGCCCATGTTGTCCAGGGAATTCCATGCCCTATTGCCATGATTGACTCCTCGCACGTTTGAAGCGGGGGGAGGCCAGAATCAGGCAGTGGTATGCGCAGACTTGGCAACCCTTGTCCAACCCGCGGTCCTCGAGGTCATCGATATATCCCTGAAGTGGAAATCAGCCATCACTCATTGCCATGCTAAAACGTATAGACCTCAAACGGGTTCGCAGCGCAGGCTTCGAAGCGGAGAATTCGTCTTCCGTTGTTGTATGTTACGTATGTTACAAAGCCCGGGTCCGAATAGGTCCACTGACCATGTCTCCCACCTAGGAGGTTGCCATTGTCAGCATCATGGTGCAACGCAAAACGCCACTACAAGCAACACGCGCCCGCAGGACGGTATCACAACCAGAGAGTTCCCGCCCATATTTCACCCCTCTCCTTCGCGATCTATTCGGTCGCACCCCTCACCCCGTGTCCCTCGTAACCAGTCCCGTGAGAGGGCCTTCGAATTGGGCCTTGTCGGGTACCAGTCTACAGCCGTGGCGGAAATAGCAAGGCTCGAATGGTCCAGCATTGCGCAACACCCGTATCGAGTCGCGCCGTCGTACCATGTTTGCTCACGGGCCGTCTGGCGTGTAACCTCTCCGCCTCGAAGTCATAACGAGGAGTGAGAGGCAAGGCGACTTATTGCCACAGGGTATAGGGGATTTGTGCTACGAAGACTCGACAGCAGATCTGTGACAAGGCATACGGGCGATGGGACTTCAGTTTGCTTTTCGCAGAGGAGAGCCCGTCCGTGATTGGAGAAAACGCACTAAGCATCAATAACTCCTAGCTAATGCCTCGTATGCTAAAACGCCGTGTGCCTGTGGTTCACGCTTGGTATCTTTATGCCCCCGACCCTTGCCCTTGCCATTGCTATCCAAAACCAACCACCGAGATGCTTTCAGAATAGTCCCCCATGCCCGCATACACCACTGCAAGTCTTCTAGGTAGGAGTCCGATCAACTCGCCGATCCCGTAGGAGATTCCTTAGAGGAGTGCTTCCCATACATGCCATAAACGCTCCTCTGGCCTTCCCGCGCAATTTTAAGGGGCGCAAATCGCGCCTCGGGCAGCCGACTCCCCGCCTTTAGACTCTCCAAAACCCTGCCTGGGTCGTCAGCAAGTCTCCTTTCGAGGACCGGGCACCAAAAGAGAGAGGATGGAAACTGACCACTCGACGCTGACATACTTCACGGCACACCCGCCGACTTTACGTATCTCCCTGTCTAACTTACTGCCTGCGAGCCCTCCACCAGCCCCGGCCCCTACGCTCGCCGGCCTCCCAACAATTACATGCGTGACCTGTCTCCGGCCGAGATGGATGGACATTCGCCCGCCGTTCTCAACCAGTACGCGCTTGAGTCGGTGATCGGAGATGATGGGGTGCGTGCCCCCGTTGATGTAGACCGTGACACCTTCGAATAAACCCCTGCCGGTGGCCTTCTTCGGCTCTTTCTCTTCGTCTTCCTTCCGGTAAGCCTCGAGTATTCCCTCTTCACTCGTGGGGTTTCCGCCCGTAGCAGACGCGGCTGACGTCGCGGACCCTGTCTCGGAGATGGAAGAGCCGCCCCTCATCAGCCCGGGCCGGGCAAGCATGTCGGCCACGCTCATCTTTGCTCGAGCCTTGACGTCCTTCGGCACGACCATCTTCAGCTTCTCGTCAAAGTCCTCGCTGCCGGCGCCGTAGGTGTCGCTCATGCGGGCCCCGCCCGAATGGCCGCCAGCAAACTGCTCCGAGAGCTTTCGGGCGCGGCTGGTTCGCCATCCCGTCGTCGCGCCCGGGGTGTTTTCTGGACGCTGGTGGCCTGTGGCACTTGAATTGTAGGGGTCGAAGTTGTTGCCGAAGCGGGGCTTCGCAGCCGGCGGGACGGACGGCTTCTCAGTCGACGGCATGTTTGGTTGGTTGTGGGACGCACCCCGGCGATGTTTCGTTTATTTTTTCTCCTCTTAGGTGCTGGGACGTGTCATCGGTGTTGAGATGGCGCTACGATGCAGACTTCATACGCATTGATGATGTGATGTTAGTCGAATTCATATGACAGATGTGAAGTTGAGAGGTCGTAATCCCAACGATTTCTCCTTCTTCTTGTTCTTTTTCTTCCTCCACACTATTCTGGTGAGTCCAAAAGCAAACAAAGGAGCGTCTCTACCGCCGGCTAAACACGAATCACGCGGCGCCGCAAACTAGGCAGAGGGCTCCAGCGCATCATGGTCCATCCAGGCACGTACCCATCGCGTGATCACGTGACATTTCACATGACGTCAACCATACACTAAGCTCAGCCAGTAATAGTTGCATCTCTCACCCAACTCTGACCTACATGCTTCGTGAGCACTACGTGTCTTCGTCTCACCTTCCGAAAGGTATGAAATGCAAAGCAGGGAGGCAGATGCACACGACGAAAAGCTTCCCGAGTAATGTGAAGCTAAGTGATATTGGAAAGTACTGGTCCGAGTGGGGTTGACCTTCGCGGCAGCCGCATCAGCAATAGCTTCGGCGCACCGACCTTCCCCCAACTGACTGCCGTGATTCCCAAAATGCATGTGCACGTCAAGATCCCTTGGAACCTTCTTGTTGCAAGACCGAACGCTTCGACGGCAGGGGACCTTTCACCTCACCTTCGACCTCTCAACCTCCTGCAGGTCCCGACATCAGGCCCAAACACCGGACAAGTCACACCCCCTCACCCCTTCAAGGTAATCACCGTGTTGCCTTTCCACGAGTAGTACACGCGCCCACGGAACCGGAACCGATATTGTCAGTGTGAATTGGGGCTGTGGAGATGGACAGACCTTGGGGCAACAGGAAGAAGGGGTCTAATCACCATCTTTTACCACTGCGTTGTTTCCTCTTGGCCATTTAGGAACACTCAGTCTGGGACTATGTTCAGGTCTGGGCTCAGCAAATGCGAGTGCGACGTCCGATCCCAACCCCATGCCATTCGTCCTCCATCGCCGAATCGTCTTGTCGCGGCTACCGTCCTCCTTGCTTCAAGGCGCTCACTTCACGCCCCCTTCGATCGAAGAAGGCCATACCTGTCCCCCGTCGGACACCACCATGGAACGCAACTGCACCCAGGGTCTGTACGTCACCGGAAGAAACATGCCTTCATGGTCTTGTCCGCATCCGGATCTCCTGGTGAAACGAAGATTAAAACCACCCAATCGGCCTCTAACATCGTCTGGCGTGGCATTTCTCACAGACGCCGCCAGTCATGCATATCACGACCCCCCATCAGCCGAAGCTTACTTCCTCCATACGCCTCAAAAGGTTGGTAGATGGGGACGAGGGGCTTGCACCGCCAAAGTTGCCTGCTACGCGTTGCACCGAAACTTCACCTCCCATTGCGGACTGTCCAGAGAGGTGATGGAGGAAAAGCTTGGTATTCAAGCTCCCTCGAAGAAAGGCATACCTAGCTCGGTGGGAAACACCTAACGAAAGGACCACCTCCTCCAGCCCCGGACCTGGTCTGGTACACCAGCGGACTCGGGGACTCCCATGTCTGCCATCTTCACATTCTGCCAGGCCACCGCACGCGCTTGCGCCTGCATGCCAGAGAATGCAAGCTTCCTTGCTCACGAAGCTTCTCTTCTAATTGACCTGCTTTTCGGGCCTGCTGCTTCCCAGGCCGATCCTTGAAAAGGCAACAACCAACGCGGTGCCCCGTCAATGTATAACACACCCATCTTAACCATGCCATACCAGGAGTTCATGCACGATGACCGCTGCACCGCTGCCCACCATACTACATACCAACCTAGTTTCGAGCCTCCTCTTTTCCCGCCGCTGTGTTTCGCGGCTAGATTTTGTCGGACAGGGCTATGGCCGAGGGATAAGCCCAGGTGAATGTGCTATGCCATGCCGCTTGTACACTACACTACAACCTGCCGGCAACTGGAAACCGTGACAAATGGCGAAAGAACAAACGTACCGAAATAAGAAAGGGAAAATCGATGACATGCCAGCGCTTGCATATTCTGCGCGCAACATGTGCCGCAATCTTCAATGCGTCGCTGCGCAGCCATAAGCAATGCTGAGCAACGCCACAAAATCTCTTCCGCCACGTAATTCTGCCTAGAGGAGCTACGAGCATCAGCTGATTCATGGCCAACCTCGTCAGGCTGGGGACAGAGGCAAGGTCGACCGCAAGCAAGCAAGGTAAGATGCTCCAGAGCAAGGTCGTCAGAAACTCAGTATCGTACCGCCGAACCCCAAGCTCCCGTCTACCCCCCCTCTCATGTGATATCAGGCAGGGACGCGCAGGGACGAGCACAGGGGGGCGAGCCGTTTCATGCTTGCAAGTTCTCCCCCGACTTGAGGATTCATTCAGCATCACCAAGCTTGACATGATAACACCCCTCGCAAGCGACATATACGCAAGAGAAACGAATCTCGGCTCGAGCGGGAGAAGTTCCCACTTCACTCTCGTCTAACCCGGTCCCCGACAGTTACATGATCTGCCTAAACTAGCAGGTGCCTGTCTGCTGCGGCCCAGGTGCGCAAGAGCCATTTCTCGACACCTGCTCTGTTTCCCTGGGGGCACGGTGAGGCCTGGCGCCGGGACAGACGATGTTCCAGGGGCTCCTCCGTGATCCGTGATCTCGCCGCCGCCGCCACCCCATGTTTGAGCAGCATGCATACCCGAACGCGTGCATGCAGGCAATCGACTCTTTTCTCTCCCGGGGTGGACGGAATAGCTGCCTGCCTTGACCTGGCCAAGCCCAAGCAGAGCCCGGTTTGTTTACGTGGTGTATGGCATCCACATCGCGCGCGGCCGACCTGGTTTGTGACGAGCAGGCTCGACCGACCGGCGAACTATTCGAGCAGGTGTGGATATCTCGAAGCGGGCCAGCCGGGAGTGATACCCCCCCTCAAACGTCACCGGATACTGCTGTCATGATTAGCATTCCACCCTCCTGGCTCACACTGATCGTGTCCCAGACAAAAAGGTTATGTCTCGTCTCGGGAGCTAAATTCGGGATTAATTCGAAAGGAGGCCGGGAACCATGAGAGATGTACCTCGTCCCCTTCTGAGAGGGAAAGATGGACAAGAAAGAAAAACACGGACGGTTGGCAATGGATGGCGCCGCGCCGTCTACGTACCTGACCAAAGACTGTGCGCGACACACCGCAAGGGGGAGGGCGGCTGTCAGAAGTCAAACCGCGCCGAGAGTTATCGATGTTGGCGTCTGCCCGACCACAAGACCGGCGCGGCGCAGCCGTCCTGGCTTGGAGCCCCCCCCCCCAACCCCATCTCGAGGGAGAGAAGAAGAGGACACAGAGAGGGGATGAGGAACCGGGAAACAAAGCCCGACCTCGTGCACGACAATAAAATCAAAAGGGAGGTCCATTCAACAATGGGCAACGGCATGTGGAAAAGTCTCACAGGGTACCCAAGGCTAGGGCCACTGCATCGCCTTGCCTTACATGCTACCTATGCTGCTCATCGCAGTACGGATACACTAGCACTGCTGCTGCGACGGAGCACATATGCGAAGCATACTTGCTTGCATCTGGGATATGATGATTGGGTCTGTATGCCAACGGCGGTGGACGTCGGTTCCTACAGACTAGCTGATCTCGCCCCCTCTCGCTCAACACAACGACATGAAGACCTCCGTTTATTGTGGCTTTGGCTGCTATGGAACAGAGGCGATAGCTGCTGCTGCTGCGACAAGATCTCCCTATCGTAGCGGTGGCGGAGCTGGAGAGGGGTTGCGATTTTCGCCGCCGCTCCAGCCCTCAGTTCTAGTGTACGATGTACTGTCATCCAGGCTCATCCTCACACCCCCCGCCCCGCAACGAAAAGATCCGCGCACTATTCTGTCATACTGCGGTATCTCCTGCATGTACCATGTACGGTATCTCTTGTATTTTAGTTTGGTATTGTACCCGAAGCGACCCCACCTCGGTATCCACTACTACGAAATGGCTAGCGCTTGCCAATCTGACATGTTACCACCCGAGACGCGGCGTCGACGGCGCGCATCTGCCCACGGACAGTTCACTCTTGCAGGGGTGAGGGGGAAAGCCACCAACCAACCTCCAGCACGCTCCAGGCAGGTAGCTTAGATGGTTTTGGGGGCAAGGGGAATCGAGGGAGGGGAGTAAGGTGGGAGTGGGTTGCGAATGCAACGCGGGCTCAGCAGGCAAGGTGTTCCGCCCATCGTCCGCCCGCGCCCTGCGCGTGCAGCCAAGGGCTCTAGGCTTTACTTAGTATCAGATAATCAACCTCACGCCCCCCCCGCCCCCCCCGGGGGGGCGCAAATTGGGCGGCGGCCAACTGGGGGAAGGGGGAGGGTGAGAGACTGAGCCCCGACTTGTCAGTTCAACAACTCAGCAACTTCGCGGCTTCGCGAGCAGGGCAAGTATCAGGGCTGGCCACTTGCCTGATTGGGGTCGATATGAAAGGGGTTTTGGCTGGGTCTGGGGGAGAATCAAAAGAGGAAGAGAGGGGCAAGTTTGTGAGAGAGAGAGAGTCAGGGCAGGCAAGGGTCATATTCCCTCTGCGTCGTTGTAGATACTTGCCTTGTCTGGCATCGAACTCAACCTTTGTACGACTGTGGAACGTACACCTGACGCGCGCTATCTGCTTTGTGCAGTTGTAGATTTCCTCAGGAGCGGCAATGCGAGGAAGAGCCTGTGAGGCAAACGGGAGAGCCCCCCCCCCAGCAAGCAAGCAAGCAAGCAAGCAAGTAGGGCAAGCAGACGGGATGTACGAAAAGGAGATCAGAACAAGCAAGCCAAGCCAAAAGCCAAACCCAGCCAAACGTATGCGCACCGGTATGTGGTACCCTACACACACACATATACATACATACATACTATGTACATACATGGTACAGCGCGCATGCGTCTCCCACGGCGAGCGCAGCGCAGCTCCCCGCGCAACGCGCACCAGGACTGAACTGGACCAGGACAGGGCCTGGCTGGGGGCCAGGCTGCACAGGCGCTCCAGCTGCTGCTGCCGACGTTCTTGCAGGGGCCAGCGTCGTGTAGGACATTGCCGATTCTCACCAGATCTCTTCCAGCACACACATGCAAGGCTACGTACGGGACGCGCGCAGCTATCCCGACACATGCACAAGACGGAAAGGCAGGCGGGAGGAGCAGGAAGGGGTGGGCAGGGAGGGGGGATGGATGGATGGACAGATGGGGGCCAATGACCATGGGCAGGGCTGGCTGGCAGATGGTCAAGCTGCGTCGTAAGCAATTAATGTATAGTACTCCGTAATCTAGTCTAATACGTAGCGGTCGTATTTCGGGCCCAGCCGTGTTGGATCTCTGTCGTTGAATCGTGGATTGCCAGGGAACACAAGCCCACCAGCTTAACGCCATAATAAAATAGTAATAAGAAGTATGTATTCGTACGTGTATGGCCTTGCCTCGCGAATGCACAGTCAAGCAAGACGGGGCCAGAACGTTAGGTGGATTCACTTCGCTGCAGACAGGGGGGGTGCGGGTTCTGTATCATCACGACGCGATGACGATGGACAGACGAAACGCCTCCCATTCGGCAAAAAAATTAAATTATAGTATATATAAAAAAGTCCACGGACTTGCAGCCAGAGCCTCATCTTGATGTGGGCGGCGACCAACCACCCACACTGCGCCTGTCATCAGAGACATCAAACGGGCGGTCGTCGAGAACAAAGCTAGCGAATCCCGCAGGCAAGCGCGCTGAACTGTTCCCCCCCGATACGGACAAGATTGTCGGTCAAATGTCTCACTCGAATCTCAGCCGAGCACCTAGGTTGGGAGAATCAACGACAAGGGAGACGGCCGCTGTCGGAGCGAGTTGACTGGAGTGACTGGTGGCAGATGGTCCGATGGCTGGATGTGACGCGACAAGGGGGCAAAAGACACGGCCACGAGACAGGATGAAAAGAAAAGATAAAAGGAAAAGAAAAGAAAAGAAGCGCAGCCGAATAGATAGAGAGATGGAGAGAGAGAGAGAGAGAAAAGCCGTGGCTGGGCTGGAACAGAGCGATCACCTGTCGCCGCCGCCCGCTGTCGTCGTCCGCTCGCCCCACGTCCAGAAGTGTTGGCAAATCCCGCACACCTCGTCAAGTACACTACACGACACAGAGGGCAAAGAACGCGAAAGAGAAAGAAGTCGGCATCACGTCATGGGTGTGCAGTTGCGCGATTTCCCCAGGGTGTTTTCGTGAAAGGAAGACTTGAACTGGACGAGGGCAGGCCGAAAGACTGACTGATGATTAATGGAGGTCTCGGAGGACAGAGACAGAGGCTGGAGACCGAAGAGGAGGGGGTGGAGAAAGTGAAGAAAGAGGAGAGTGAGGAGGGAGTGGTGGGGCCATGGGCGTGCGTGCCGCATCACCGAACCCCCCCCCCCCGGTGTTCTCCCACCCCGCTACCCTCCGCCTGCCCTTTCCCCTTCCTCACTGCCCCACACCCCCTTGTCCTTCCCCTCTGCCATCGCATCAGGCCATACCTACCATCCCATTCGCCTCCACGTGAAAACTGCACGCAGACCCTCAACGTTCAGCAGTAGCAGCCGACTGAAAACAGTGGGCAAGGTAGCCCTGCCAGCGCACCGTAGTTCCCAGGTGGGGGTGTCAGCAAGCCAGTCCATTCGGGCATAGGGCTATTGGCTCGTCCGCGGTGTGGGATCAAGCGATGATGGGCGGCTGGCGGGTCGAGGGGGGGTTCCAGGCCTGGGTCTCCCCCCCTCTGTGGCTCCTTGCCACCCCTGCTAAGTGTGTCATTATCACCACGTCCAGAAGAGAGAGGCAAAGCTGTGTGGGTGAGGCCGAGGAGGAGAGGGCGTCATCGTAAACAGGTCACTGGAGTAGCGGTGAGGAGAATGCTAAACCCAATTGGAGAGAGGCCATTATCACACCAGCCAACCTCGCCCGAGGCGTCTCAACGCCACATTGTCGTCGAGTCAAACGAACATTATCTCATGGATCGGTCTCCCGACCCGGCGCCCGTGGTTGTGTGTCGTTGTATATTCGTATATTGCAAACCCAGAGCGGTCTCGGTGGTTCTCCAACGTTTGCTACGTGCCAGCACTCGCAAAAGGTAGAACGCCACTGGGGAGGGGACGGTGTCACAGATACCTCTTCGTATTTGGGTTTCCTCTGATATACGTCGTCGCTTACACAAGCTGCGGGCAGATAGATATATCTGGTGTAGGCTGCGACTTTCGGCAATGGAACAGGATGATAGCACCCGGCATGTGTTCGTCTCCGAGGAGCAAGCAGCGACCATCGGCACCTGAACGAGAGCTGCTCCCACTGCTGCTGCTGCTACTACTGTTGCTACTGCACCGCTTTTCAGTCGAGGCGTCTGTGGAATTGTTCAGTTGCGCCAAAAGTCGTGTGCTGAATGGATGACGAGACATCCCCTCTCGCGGATCATCCACGCCATGTCGCGTAGACCTGTAGGCAGATAGTTGCAGTGTTTATCCCCGGCCACGTTCCCATTGGGCCAGCATCGTCGACGACGTGGAACCACCCGTTGGGATGGTACGGAACACTGTCAGACCTCACCCAATGCCACGCCCGTCTGACCTAACTCGCAGCTGCCGGAGCCTGGAGGAACTCCTCGTGCTCCTCATGTAAGGCGGAAAACGGTCCGCTCATGCATACCAATTGGCGAATAGGAGCAGCAAGAGAACGGTTTCGTATAGCATGGTTTGTAGGACGTTCCTCTCTGCGAGGGACCTCCTGTCGACAGCTTGACCTCTCGACAGGGAAACGTAGTCTTCCACAAAAGGATAGCAGAGAATAGGCAAAAGAGCCAATTCGACAAGCCTGGGGCCGCCTTGACAACCGTACCTTAGTTGCTGGGGGAGGGGCAAAGAAGCCCGATGGCAACTCGGTAGAGTTTCCCAGAATGTCGCCGGGCTTAACACGGCGGCAGCAACAATGACCAGAGTCGACAAGAGCCTGCACAACCTGTCCTTCTTGACCGGGCTGCCAGGTTGCGTGCGTCGTGCTCTACAGACCCAATGGCGAGCCTCAGAGGTAGACCGCGTAGCCAACGTGGGTGAAGAGTCCCGGTACGGATACAGGCGGACAGCTCTGCGGCGTGGTTGTAGGCGTATGTGTAGATCCAATGTGTTGTAAAATGGTGTGTGGCGGCCGACAACGTGGATTGCCATGATTCGCCTGATTGCGGCGCGGGTCGATGTGCAGGGATCTTTGCCAACCCCAGTCGGAAAGCGAAGTTGGCGCGCAACTGATAAGCCAAAGCGCCAGATTTACTGCAGGCCCCGGCCGGGGAAGCAAAGAGTGCAGCTAGAAGAAGGTATCTGCTACATGGCCTCCATTGAGCCATCCTAACCTTCTGTGTTGACTGCCTGGAATTGAACATCTGGAATGCCCTTACATACGAAGTACGACTGCTCACTCGTGGGTCTCGTGTGTCTTATACAGGGAACGTCCCGTAAGACTTGCACCACCAGCTCGTGTGCTGAGTGAAGCCTGGTTCCTGTGCTTGTTGGCCGCCAGGATCAGGACAGGAAACCCGGACAAGCACCCGAAGCCGCTGGAACCCTGGCAGTCTATACAGTAGACGCAAACTATGCTCTTCCAAACAAACTCAGTTGATCGGCACTTACACGGGAAATTGTTAGTGGTTTAATCAGCGCTTGATAAAGCAGGGCATGCCGAGAGTGGTGTCTTCCCTGCCAGCGCCAGAGAGAGAGAGAGAGAGAGAGAGAGAGAGCGGGTGGTGAGGGAAACGTTGAGTACGCCACACACATCTGGTTCCTTGCAAAGGAAGAACGGCAAATAAAACGAGGAAGGGATAGAAGGAGAGGAAGAGAAAGAGTGTGTATTGGCGGGTAAGCTAACGTCGCTAAGAGCCTACATAGTACCGCCGAAACTGACACCAGCGACCCGGGGTCCAAAAGCGGCAAGTAGCTCGTAGATCGTAGTAGGGGCAGGAGAGCGAAGTAGAGGCTCCGATGTCTCTTTGGTAAAAAAAAAAAAAAAAAAAAAAAAAAAAGGGACAGTTACGGCCGTCCGAGTGTTGCTGTTGCGCTGGCAGATTACCTGTACGTGTACTGGCCGAGGGAGGAGAATTGGTTTCTTTTTTTTCTTCTTCCAAAGCGGATCAATGCCTGTCAACCGCTGATGGGCTGGTTCAATACTTTGCCAATGGCTCAATGGCGTCTGGCCCCGGAAGGTTCTTCTAGGCTGTGAGGAGTTGGGGGGCAAGATGGGGAGGGCCTGAATTGTCGTCGTTCGCCGCCGGTGGGGTCGACACCCATGCCGGTTTAGCGATTGAAACCTTTAATCAAGGGCCCTGACCAACTCAGTACCTGCTACTAGGTAGGTCGCAAGAAGTTCTAATTATCTAATTGCCTGAGGCAAACGAGCCGCCAGCCCGCCCCCCGCCCCTCCCCCCATGAGCTGGATAGCCGTTGTATCTAAGTACATGCCAGAAATGGGTGCTCATTGAGGGAACTGAAACGCACCCCTCCCCTCCATGATGCCCGCCAGGGTCTTTCATTGGATATGTTTTAAAGCTGCTTAGCCGCCTTGCAGCTGGGTCATGCAAGTGCTCAAGCCAGCATGAGCATCAGGCTCTCACCCCTGCTCAATCTATACTACCGTATCCTCTCAGCAGATTCGTACAGCGCACTGACCACAAACTAGGCCTATTTCGAAAGGCGGTCAGCCAACCTAGCCACCCACCCACCCACCTAACCCTAACCCTTGCCACCAAACTTGCTGCTGACGTTGACTAGCCCCTGCATTTGCCACATCTAGATCCCTGTTTCTGCCAGCCCGCTTACCCCTTTCCAGTAGCCCGTGGTCAGTGCGCTGTACGAATCTGCTGAGAGGATACGGTATCATATTTGGCAGCCCAATATTTTTTTAAGATGTGTCTGCAGGGTCTGGACGACGTGGGAGCGAGCCGGGGGGGGGGGGGGGGGAGGCCGCCACCCAAGATACTTCTGGCTTGCTTGGTGCCAGCGGATACTGGCTACTGCACGCTACCTTACGTGTAGTGTACTGTATGCTGGCGGGAACTGCCCCAGTCCTGGCTAGGCTGCATCTTGGATAGTGTACGGGAAGGTTGACGAGCCCGCTTCTGGCAAGGGATCATGCCGTCTGCCGCAAAGGTCGGCAGGGACTTGTGTGCAGATATTACTTCTCCATCAGCCTTGATGCCAGTCCCGGCCCCGTACTCGAGTTGAACGCCTCGCCGCAAGACCCTCGACTCCGAGGTCTTGGGCGGAGTTTGTCATCCGGACGTAATGAACTATCGCACTGGCCACGGAATGCTTGCTATTTCCGCTTGAACCCTGTGCTGTGTAGCGTACAAAATATAGTTCTATGGCTTGCATCGCATCTCCAGGGTTCCGGGGGAAGAAAGGGATGATGGACAGCTGTCTGCACTGGGTATGCCATCTCGAAATCCAGCAGATCCTAAGTAAGTTGCTTTGTCGCAGAGTGTTTCGGCAACGTGTGCTCGATCGAGTAAGAGCCAGGAAGTCCGCTAGATCGATGCATACAGTTCGTTACGTGTAAAGAGAGGTCGTACAGACAAGCGTCCGCAATGGCAAGGGGCGTCGACAAAATGGTTGCTTGTGTCTGATTCACTATCCCGCCCCGTGCAATAGCAACCGGGGATAATTCTCCCAACCTCGTGTGCTAGAGGAAAAAATGATTGGTATGGTGAGAGAATTGTTCTTTGCTTCGAAAGCAAGGGGTAGATGACGTTGTGAGTACGGCCTTGCATGCTCTAACGCCCCCTCGCCCAACGCGGCAAAGACAGTCGGCGTCTGTTCTTTCGAGAGGATTCGAAAGTCTTTGATTGGCAGCTATCCAATAGGATGCTTTGAACGGCCAAGCCAGACGCCGAAGTTCGGCAGATGATGGAACCCTAATGCTTCGCTCGAAGAAACTGCCACCGTCGCGGCACGAGCACGGCCGCCGCCGCCATCAGGTTCACCCATTAGAGAGGTGACTGTCTGAGACAGACACAAGCTGTTGGAAGGAAATAAAGAGCTCCCCAGCTTGCCGTTCCAATGGAAGAAGAGTCTGAAGTGACAACGGTTCATTCATGGCGTGGCGGAACAAGTGCCATGTGAGACACGAGTGGGCTAACGTGCCCAAGTCGGGTTCCTGGAGGAGACTTGATGGATTGGCGCCATTTGTTGACTTTCTCTTCTTTCCAAGTGAGACCTTTCAGCTACACCCCCTTCCGAGGGCACTTCCAACCAGTCTAGATCAGCCACGCTACCATTTGACTGACGAGGAATAGGTCGGCCACGCTGTCAAGCCTCTAAAGGCTGGGAAGATGGCGCATCCGACCCCTCAATGGTCGACTTTCTTTCTTGACCAGAGTGCTCCGTACTGACAATAGATACGGTATTCTGGTGAACATCCCGTTTCTCTTCTCCTACTGGGCATGGTTTGAGAAACGAAACATGATGCGGGTTGGTCGTTTGCTTCTCCCAATCGAGAGCTGAGGTACGTACCCTCACCAACCATTTTTTTTTTTTTCGAGGTCGTTGTACCGGTACCTTCTTCCCATACGAGGAAGAACGGTCGCTGGGCAGTCTCAATTCAAAACGGCATTGATTCTGATCCTGATCCTCTTTTTTTGTTGTCAACTTTTTACCAAATCAACTCGATCGAGCCAAGACCCAGCCGTTGTCGCAAAGTACTCAAAAGCTGACTGATCTACACCTAGTGGGCAGATGTTCTGTGAACGACTGACTGAGGGTCTTGTCGTCGGTGTTGGTTGCGCCGGCCACGCTTGGCTCATGTATACAAGCCTCCCCTCCCCTAGCATGCTGCTAATATAGATGCCCCTGTTGCTGCTAAGTGTGGTCGTGCGCTGAAGTGGCTGCTCCAGGAGATCGACCGCGCCGGAGAAGACACCTGTACCTATTGCTGCAGAAGCCGAGATGGTGGTATCCAGGCAAGGCGTATGCACGCGCTGCAGTGTACAGGACGGAATCTTGCATGGGATTGCACATGCCCCTAGGTAGGTAGGTACGCAAGCTTCTGTACTGCACCGGGTCAGACGCAACAACAGAACGGTGTGGCCAATGGGGTTGCTGTGTGCCTGCCTGCGTCGAAAAAGTCTTCGTGATGTTGCTCCTCTTTGCTGAGCAACTGGGCCGGTTCCTGTCGAACTGATGGCCGCGTGTATGGTACATCAACGGCGCGCCGGCGGCGCACGGTAATGCACCGTATCTGGCTCCTAACAAGTTACATATAAGGCTAGACATGACCTGTACCTAGGTGCGGGATGGGCATGAAGCATTACCCACACGCACGCAGGTGCATGCATTGCCCGGCTTGGGGTCATGGGGATGAACCGCAAGTGCGCAGTAAGTAAATGAGCCGACCCCACCTTATCGTCAACAGTCATCGCCAGGCATGCTTTTCTCCTGTGTTTTTCTTCTTCTTCTTCTTTCCTCTTTGATTTTTTTTTCCGAGCTCATGAACAAGTTCGTGGCCTCGGGGAGGGAGAGTTCCCACCGGAAACCAAAGGAAACTACTACCCAAAGGACTTGCTGTTAGTTTGGCCGGTTGAGCCCGGTGAAGGCAACACCGGAACAGGCATGCCGATGAGCCAGGATGTATAGCCTTATCTAGCAAACTATGTAGTTAAGGAATGTCGGGCCAGAGTGATACAAACCTTGATCCCTGGAATCGTAGTACCGTAATCTGGAGCCCATCCGGATAAACCGCGTGCGCACATACACATACACGGCCGACGGGTAGATGATCCTCCTGCATTTCGTGGGTCGTTGGCTTTCTTCCACTGCAGGAAGCTAGAGAGGGAACTTTGAGCGCCACGAGGGATGGGCGCACCGTTGCACCGCTCCAGCTCTTCTCGTGTTCAGCATCAACCAGGAACCCCGTCCAAGACGTACTGTTACACAAGTTCCCGCGGGGTTGTGTCTGGGCCGGCTAGCAACCGAGTTCGCCAAACAGGGCTTATGAGCCAGCTAATTGTCCAAAGGATAAAGTGAAGAAGAGTTAGAGACACATGCGCCAATTTGGTGCCAGATTCAACGTTGGAACCCAACCCACTCCATCTGTAGGAATCTTGCATTGCAGAAAACCGGGCCCTCGGAGCATTTTCAAAGGCACACTCTACCTGTTGATCGTTGCAGCCTGATTGCTAGGCGCCGGTCGACTGGCCGCTGACAATAACAAGAAGGCGATCTGTATCCTCTTACTCAGCGATAAGCTTTACTTTGCACCGTTTGAGCGCGCTTGGTCCGAACTGGAACCGCTGCGTGTAGTAAGGGTAGATGCCTTAGCGCTTGGATACACCGAAGACAGCAAGACCTTTGGTGCCATTTCGGTGCGGTGTCAATCTCGAATGTCACGTAAGCTAGGCTACTGAACCCGTCAGTCCGATCGATGTTTGAGCAGTACTACACTTCGTACATGGGTGAAGTTCCCGAATGCGTGATTGATATGTGCATGCTCTTGACCTCTTGACCTCTTGACCGAGCCTTTACGCAGTGTCTACCATTTCTGGCTGAGCCTGTGCGGTTGGCGTCGTATAACCAGCCTGATGAACCGCACCAAATGGGCGAGGGAGGGGCAGACGAACCGGTCCGTGTCCAGTTAAACTCAGTCGGTACAGAGGATGAACAAGGGGCCGATCTCACATCTCCATCGGGGCGTTGCGCCGCAGAATTCGGGATCGAATCAATCAGAGGCGTCTGTCAAGTCTCTCGAGCAGTGGCATCGGGTTTCACTCCTAGCTGGTCCCCTCACTGTTGGCTCAGCCACGATAGGAGGACATCGCGTGACAACAGCCTCAGAACAAGAGCGGGACCGGGGCTTGTTGTAAGACGCTTGTGTGCAGGATGCGTGGAGTTTTCTTGGCCCTGGCTGGGGAGATGACTCGGCCCTTTGGTCATTATGGGAAGACATATCGCGGAAATCTCTTAGCCTCCGCAGAGTATTCGTACCAGTGCCACAAGCGATGCCGTAAAATAGCATGGCAATGAAGGTCAGAAGCGGCAGCAGGATCCAGACTCGATGGCCGAGGTTCCACTACCATTGACTGACCACGGCCCATGACAGAGAGGCCCCAACCTCGGACAGGTGGATGATAAAGGGGGTGTGGACCGACGGTGTTTCTTTTTCTATATCTTGGCAGCCGTTGGTGCAGTGGTTGTGATGCGTCTTTTCTGGACCCAACGAGAATGTCTTGCCGGCCGATGGCTCCCTCGTGCGGAACCAGCATTGTCGCCCTTTCTCACCATGGGGACGATGGGCTGAAAGCGCGCACTCGAAAAGGATCCGTGAGAGCTAGCCGGGGCTAGCGGAGCAGGGTTAAGTTGAAAAAGGTGGCAGGTAGACGAGTGGTGTGGACCGTGGTGTCAATGTTTGCTCAAGGGAGGTTGGGCGAACCCCGCTGGTTACTAACGGAACAGTTTCCACCCGTACAGGTACCGGGGCTTCAGCAGACCGCGGGTCGCCCGCCGGCCTAAACCAACTTGGGTTAGAATGGAATCGAGCTGGATTGGCGGGGACTTGGGCGGGCACATTTGGGCCGACGCCGATGGCAGCCAAGAATGAGGGCCCGGCTCAATGCATGCATGACTGACCTTCCTTTCGCACGAGGGTCGATGACGAAACACCAGCGACCAGCGCGGAGTAAAAGCAGTCCGTCGATTGACGCAGCTGAAGATGTATTTCGGTCTGAACCAGCTCCCGCCACCGGCATCTCGAAATAAGACATTGGCCCTGCTGGGCGGGCCAGGCTGTAAGACCAGCTGCAACCGAGGGGCTGTGTCAAGAGCAGCGGTCTCCCAGGCAGGCAATACGTGTACTGTACATCGTATATCAATAGGATACGTTTGTGCAACGACAAATCCGATGCGTTTTGCATAGTACGGGAAACGCGGGAACTCATCGAAAGATGACCAGTCAGCATCTCTCACTGCTAATCTTCATTTGATTTTGGACCCTGCGACTCGAAGCCTGTCGATGGTGTTGCTACCGTAGCATGGAAATAACGCATGCAGGTAGTTACCCGCTGAAGTCTGAGAAGGATGCAATGCGGTGGAAACGAGCAACGGCCCAGTCCTCTACTGCGGCCCAGTCCTCTACTGCGTGCAGTGGGCGATGTCGATTTTGGTGCTAGACATGGTTCGGGAATCTGCCGTTATCGTCTTTTCCCTCTGTCGCTGCCGGTACGCACAAGACGTCTGCCGTACCGTGTCCAGTATCCATCGGAGGGTTGGAAGGTGAGAGGGGAGGTACGGTGGATGTTTGAGGAGAGAAAAGTCAAAGTACGGAGGAGCATCATGATGGGATGGGTGGCTTGTTGGGAAGCTGGCGGCATGAGACAATGGCACGGCATGGAAAAAAGAGAAGAACAGATTGGTAGCCGGTTGGCCGGATTGTCAGCAACCCTTCTCTCTTGTTTCCCGGATGTTCCCTCCTGACCTAGGTTACGATGGGATCTCCCGACCAATATCTGTCGAGCGAGCGAGGATGATGGAAGCTAGTGCAAGGTACAGGTAGACTTTTCCAGGCCCAAAAGACTGTGAGGCGAGGTAGGTACGAATATGTGTGATATGTACGGATACTCCATACACAGTAACAGGTAGCCAGCCTGGTAAGGATATGGAGTCATGCATCCAGGCGCAGGGCAACCTGCCTTCACCTCGGGACGAAGGAAGGCACGCGTATCGGGAAAAAAAAAAAAAAAGGGGGGGTGGGGGAGAGGGGGTGGCGTGTCAAGCAGCAGCAGCAGCATCATCATTATCATCGCAGAAGGCATTCGCTTGCTACCCCCATGGCAAGCAGGAGATGCATCGAGGATTCTTTCCTAGGCTGGACGAGTCTTACGGTCGACTATATCACGAGCGGAAACTCGAGCGAGATTGTAGGCAAGTCTGGGGCTTGGAAAGGTTCCTGAGGCACGAAACCCATCGCATTTCATGATCCAGGGGGAGGAAGGAAGGGGGGTGGGGTTGCATCAAGGGCTCAAGTGTCGGAGAGTGGTCGCGACTGTTCACTTCCAGTCACGGAAGGAACCTACTACCTACCTGCCTGCTGGGCCGAGAGGAGCGCCTTCTCTTTCCAACAGCTGTGTTTTCTCCTAATTGCGTTGCGTGAAAATGCCCATTTGGTTGACCAAGACAAGCTGCGAGGTCCAAAGGCTAACCAACGGCAATTGCCAGCCACCGCCTAACCGCAATGAGGTTCTTCCTAGTTTCCCCATGTGGTTCTTTCTTGCCCTATCTTTTACCCACTCGCGCTCCACAAGGAGAGGCAGGCAGGCAGGCAGGCAGGCAGGCAGGGATGAGGCAGCATAGGCAAGCACATAGGGTTCGCGGCGGGGTCGGCGCGGAGAACAACACAGCAGCCAGCGCGAAAGGCGCACATGGCATGGGCAGTCTGGAGAAGAAAACAAGTCAGACATCTAGTACGAGCAGATTCCCTACCTTGGGTCGATGAGCGAAGTCAGGGTGCCGCAATGCGGGCCAATGACCGATGCTGGTGCCATAAAAACAAGATGGCAGAAATCCACCGAGCAGACGGTGAAGACCAGGCAACAACAGGGTCGGCCAAGGTAGCGTTGCAAGATCTGCCATTTGACATGCGCCTGGCCCTCTGCCGCACAGTGCAGCAAATGTCTGTGCCCTCGAGCATCGACATCGGGATCCAGCCAGCGTGTTTTAATACGGATGCTAATGCATATTGCTAGATCAGAGATCCATATTGCATTGTAGTTTAGTTCGCTCGACACACTACCTACCTACTTACTCTTCCCTACGGATACCCGACCTTGAGTTCTTGGGTCCCCCAGCGAGTAAGCCAATTGCGGCAGAGTTCAGAATCTCAAGCCGGCGTAGACCCGTTTCTAGGTTCGGCAATCGCCAACGAACGAGCCTCCCACCCCTCCTAGCTCCAAGTGCTGAGCCGACGGCGGCATTCTTTGGTGGACAGAAGAAGCGTCGAGAAGACGATGAAGCGCCGACGACTTACTGCCTAGTCCGTCTTCACCTTCTTCGGCTTGGTATTTTTATTCTATTTTATTTTTGTCAATTCCGTTACCAGGTCGTCAACTTTCAATGATGTTTCCTTGATAGTGCTGGTGGGGGGGGGGGTATCGCAGTTTTGAACATGTTAGATTGAGCTGCGACAGTCAGTGCATTTATTATCAAGACCGTCGTACATCATCGGATACACAATCAAACCGTGTCGGTCTCGGCTTACAAGAGACATATGCTTTACCTTGCTGCCGGGAGCATTATACTTCTTTCACTCAAAGCAATGGACGCCAGACCTCTACATTCGCCAACCGGATGACATGGCTTAGTTTGTCGGAACGGCAGCTACTTGCATTCGTGACTGAACTCAAGTCCGGGGCAGATGTGGAAGAGGGGGGGGGGGGGGGGGGTATGGCGTGTGGGCATGTTGTGCATCGTCGGCAGCAGAAACACCCAATATCCAAACACACAGAGTCCGACAGACTTTCGAGGTTCGGTCGAACAACAAAGGTAACAACAATGGCACGGGCAATGAATCCAAGAGAAGGAGGTGCCGCCAAGTCCAAGGCTCGAGGGCGGATGAACAATAAGACCAAGGAGCACGGCCGTCCGGGACGGTGTGTCAACCATCCAAGAACCGAGCCCGCTTGTCGCATGGCTTCAACCACTGATGCCGCTGCGGCCATCGTCAGTTGCCGTCTCTGTCTGCTGAACCGCTCGGGTCGCTTTTTCAAAGCACCCAGCCACCCAGCCTGCCGGACTTTACTGCGGGCTCCCAGCCAGCCATGGTAGCCCCCCTAGTCCGAGTGACGTGAGCTGATGCCGGACTCGACCGTTGTCGGGGGAATGCAAGCCATCTCCGTTAACCAGCTCGGGACGTCAACTTTGTTGTGTGATGGACAACACGAAGCTACGACGATGTTGCGCCGACGCTGGAGTGAGAGGTCATTGCGCCATTGGGACTTGATACCGATAACCGACGACCTCCATATGAACAGAGGGGCTGTGCCAGGGCCTCGACAAACAGCTAGCCTCGCCGAGACAGCAGAGTAACCGGACGTCAAGCTGAGTCGAGACAGACATAACGGACGGACGACTTCAAACTGGACGAGAGGGATTTCCAAAACTGAGAGCTGGTAGTTTTCTTGAATTGTCATGCTCCGTGCGCTGTGCGTAGAGGTACTCGGAAAACCACCCATAATACCGAGAAAAGGGATAAGGAAGAAAGGACGACGCAAGCACGAGCGAAAGCAACAGAGCCTACCACCACACCTCGTCACTTCATACCGACAAGGACATTCATTTATTCCTCTTTTGGAGACGAATGGAGTGGGCGGCACAGATGCAAAGGCTCAAGATTGGACCCACCGCAACGTCTGATGCCATATTGAGGTCCTGTGTCCCATGTTCCGTCGGCGTCTTGGCTCATCATGTCTGATTTGTGTGTTTGGGCGACAAGGAGTGCCCACTGTCCATCCGGTGGCCCTCGCTTTCAGTTTGCCGGGGGACCGACTTGTCCTGGCCTCTTCCATCCGTAATGTGGAGGCACTGCTCTAGGATCGGTCGAGGTCGGTTGGCCCAGTCCAATCCACGTCCATCCACGTCTACGCTTCCCAAATCTCAGTCGCAGTTGCGGTCGGGAGAGAGGAGAGGTAAGATGCCCGCACAGGTATCGGTACCTTACCTCGTCTCGGAAGGGAATTGGACCAAGTGTACATACACTACGTAGACTCTAGACTCTGGACTGGATGCTCCATGGACGCTCCGTGTCTCTTTCCCTCTCCAGCTCTCTCCCTGTCAGGCATTATCGCTCAGAGTTTCCATGCCTGGCTCGGTCTTCTTTGGCGATACCCTTCGTCCTTGAACCCATCCTACGCCGAATACTCCATACCGTCCGTCCGCTCCAGTATGTACACTGCCTACGTACGGACTGCCCAGCATTGTTGGGCGTGTGTCCCCTCTGAAAGACCGACAGACCGACGGCGACTGACTGGGGCTTGATCTCAGGCCATGGACCACCCTGGTTGAAGCCAACAGACCCCTCTCTTCTCGGTGCTACGCTGCTCCAGCCACGCCCCTAAGCGAGAGCCAGGAAAACGACAACGGAGCGAGCCCACGTCCAGCGAAGCCCTCCACGCCATTACTCTTGTTGCACACCCCTCTCCCTAGCCTTCCTCCTCTCTCCGCCTTTCCCCATCGACGACCACCCTTCATCCACCGAACGGCGGCGACGGCTAGCTTGGTTCCTTGCCCGTACAACCCTTCAAGGGCTCAGGCAGTTGGCTGAGAAATTTCCCTTGCGCGCCCTAGCCCGGCACAGTGGTCAAGACCGAAGAAGAGACGAAAACGAGAGGCGGAGGCCGACGGCAAAGTCGCTTACCGATGCAGTCGCGGTCCAAAGTAACAAGGGGTCCCAGGAGCAGGGCCCTTGAGGGGAGGAAGGGGAAGATTTGACGTGAAAGCATAAAACAGGCAGGAAAATTAGAATACACGTATCATACATGGCGGAGGAAGGGCCGCTGCTAGCTAAGGCAAGGTACAGAAAGGTAATGTGAGGCGAAAGCGTCATATCGCGGGTAAAGTCTCGTGCAGCTACCTAGAACAGACACAGGTCACGATACGGACAGGCTTGTTCAGAGGACGAGGACGAAGAGGGGACATTACGAGTCAAACCCCCCCACTTTTCCCGAAAAGACTTCTTCTGGTGCTTCCCATAGTGTATCCGTATACGGCTAACAGCTGGAGACCAGGTATTTTCAGTTTCTATCCACACGTGGGCTGGGCGAAGACGAGGGGCACAATTAGAAACAGTTGGAGGTACAGACAGATAGCTACACGGGGCACGAAGGCATCAATGTTGCTAAGGGGACGGGTCAGATGAGTGCAGCACATACATCCCATCCTGATGCACGGCCAATGTGCCAGTGATGGAAAGATGGAGTGAGAGGGTGCGAAGAAGAACAGCAACATCAACGGGATACGGCAGGGAGCAGAAGAGGAAAAGAAACACAAAGACAGGAGGCACAGACGGCCCATACGATAATTACGATACGCCCGTAGCTTCGGGCCCAAGAGTCGACATGAAATACCCCCTCGCACGTCGTTATTCGAGTGCGAGTGCGCGCGCGTGTGGTGCTGCTCTTCGGAGTGGATGAAGCGTGTGCGCCGTGCTATGGGTTCGTGTGTGCTCCCTGGACCTTTCCTCCACTTCTCTCCTCCGACCATCCGTCGGAAACTTGGGAGTACGTATTTTTTTTTTCAACATCCCGCCAGCAGCGTTGTGCAGTGTACCATGTTCTTTTTTTTTTTCTTTCTTTCTTGCACGCCCCCCTCTTGCTCCTCTCTCCCCCCCTCCTCCTCCCATCCCATCCCATGTCATCCATCATCCCTCCCTCATCACATTTGGCAGCGTACGTAGAGCTGCCCCCCCGGTCTCCGTGACTACATACTGTGGTACCTTGGCCCTTAGGCTCGCCCTCTTCCATCCTCGTCTCTTAGGCCGTCCCCAGCAACCCCGGTCGGTCGGACCGCCCACTTAGCAGCGCCAGAAATTGGCCAAGACCACCCACTCTCTGGGCTCCTTCGGGGACAGGCTACCATGCCCATTGTACACTAAATTAACCCTGCCATGTACCCTGTCGGCCGCTACCGCACTCTGTACCTTGTTGCTCTTTTCGACGCGAGGTACCTCTACCTTTGCCGCAGTACTTTGGAAGAGAAACAGATCTCTCGACCGGTGCTCACTGCCCTGCCACTGACTGCTCTGCTTCGACCTCACGGTGCCCATGCCCATGCCCATGCCCATGCTCATGCTCATGTACCCCCCCACCCATGCCATGTCCATGGGCCATGCCCATGCTGTTCGAGCGAGCTCCTCTCCGTACCGCTACCGCCGTGCCTATACCGCACCGGCATCAGCAGAGTGCGGACGCCGCAGTACCCCAGTACCTGTTTTTTTTATTTTATTTTACCTCAACTTGCACCTGCACGCTGCACCATCTTGCGCTGGCTGGGGTGGGCGTGTGGATTGTGGACTGTGGATGGATGGACTTCGACCTGCCTCCTCTTCTTTTCTCACCACCGAAAACAAAACCTCCCCACGCCCGTCTTCTTTCTTTTCTTTCTACCTCTCACGACTCCACCAACCACCTCCAATATTCAACCTAGGACAGCCAAAGAGGCGAGGACGGTAAGCCATACAGACTTCTTCTACGCCTACGCTTCCCAATGCCTCTTCACCACCGTTCATCCTCTTGTTTTATGCCCTAGACCGCCTTCAACATACAACATCCATCTCTCCCCGTCTCACCCATCATTCCTCTCCTGCATCTCCTCTGCACAACCCGCCCCCCCTCTTATACGCCAAAAAGCTCTAGCTAATGTACCTGCATTAGAAGAGTTTGGGCGAGCTCGACGAAAGAAGAACAGAAGCAAAGAAAAGAAGGACGACCAGCACGATCCCTCTCGACTGTGTGTGTGTGTGTGTATGTGTGTGTGTGTTTGTTTGTGTGGTGCTTGGTACCTGCCTGGATAGACAGACCTACGTACAAACGGCTCCCACCGCTTGTTACTCAGCTCCCGATCTCAGCACTCACAAAAGGGCATTCCCTCGCTTCCTATCGTCACCGTCCTCGGCGCCTTTCGTGCAACCCACCTTCTCATCAAACAAGAGAGACTACCTCGTCTCCTCTTCGGACACTTGGACAAACGGCATCGCTTTAATCAGTCAGCACTCTCCCCGCTGCATCTGAACTGCCATTTCGAAAAGACAAACCAACCAAACCGGCCTGCGAACCCGCCCTCGGATGCTTTCAGCATAGAAGCTTCTGATTTTTAACGACTGCTTACGACGACTACGACCGTCCTGATCTGTATTTTTCAAAAAAAGGAATCCTCGAGCCACACGGACTTGTAAAGTTTCTTTAGCGCAGCACCTTCACCGCCGGAACTCTTGCGCAGTTATTGCGAGCCGTCGAGACTCTCGTCTGCTCTCCCCAACGCCTTCGCATCAGAGGTTGTTGGACAAATCCATTTCGCACGACAACTGCGACATAGCTAGACGCCTGGGAAGAAACGCATTCTCTTCCTCACGTCTGATTCTCTCTGCCTTGTAGTCACGAGTCTCGCTCGGTGACTTGCACTCCACTGATCATTCTGGTGCTTGGTGTAGGAACCTTCGGGGCAAAACCGTGAAGCTGGATCTACCGTCGATTGCCCAAGTGCAAACCCGGGGACCGACCGACGTGTCGTATTACAACGCTCACGCCGCTCAGAGGCCACTGTACATGAACAGCGAGAGAATCCCGTCTCTGCCATTGCCAACTCCGCATCAGGCGTACTCATCCGGTACTTCATCTCCCCGGGTCAGTTCCATCGGCTCTGCTTCAAGCCAACACGCGGGCTCGCAGTCGTCCTTCACGTCGGCCGCATCTTCCAACGGCCCCAAGACGCCCTCTCCCACCTTACCCATCAACTCGGCGATTCCTGGATCTTCGAGCCAATCCATTGGTGGATACGATCACTACCCCGCCATGAATCAACCTGCAGCCGATATGTACTACTCGCAACATATGTCCGCCGGCCAGGCGCCGCCGCCTCAGACCGTGACCTCCGGCAACATGTCTTACCACCAGCCTCCGCCGTTGCAGCCGAGCCATTTGCCTCAGTACACTCAAACGACCCAGTACGGCCAGCCTTACGGGTATACCAATGGCCTGACCTCGCCCCAGAACGCTCCCCCCGCTGTGAACAACGGAATGGGCGGCCAGAATGTCCTTCCTCTGCCCGGCGTCTCTACCCAGGGCTTCCAGGGCTTTGACACGACTGGCCAGGTAGCCCCCCGGGCATGAAGCCGAGGGTCACTGCTACTTTGTGGGAGGATGAGGGAAGCTTATGCTTTCAGGTAGAGGCACGAGGAATTTGCGTTGCGCGCAGAGAGGGTGAGATTGATTCGTCGTAACGCTGACCGCCCATTACATGGCTAACACTACACCAGACAATCACATGATCAATGGTACTAAGCTGTTGAACGTTGCGGGGATGACTCGTGGCCGCCGTGATGGAATTCTCAAAAGCGAGAAAGTGAGACATGTCGTCAAGATTGGCCCCATGCACTTGAAGGGTGTTTGGTGTGTTCTATGTCCCATGGCATATCGCCGTATCTGTACTAACAAGTGAACAGGATTCCGTTCGAGCGGGCCTTGGACTTTGCCAACAAGGAGAAGATCACCGAGCTTCTCTACCCCCTCTTTGTCCACAACATTGGTGCTCTGCTGTATCACCCTACAAACCAGACCCGCACCAACCAGGTCATGGCCGCTGCCGAACGCCGCAAACAAGAACAGAGCCAGATGCGTGGCGCTCCCCAAACTGGAGGCCCTGGACTGCCATCTATCCAGCAGCATCATCACCACTCCATGGGCTTGCCGGGACCTCAGCAGTCTCTGCCCTCGCATGCTAACATGGGCCGTCCCGCTCTTGACCGGGCTCACACCTTCCCCACACCCCCAACTAGCGCTTCCAGCGTGATGGGTGGCAGTATGGGCGCTTCTGACAACGGGTTTCAATGGGCCCAGTCCCAGAATATGGGTACTGCTCAAGCCCAAAACCCCATGTCTATTGACACGGGTCTGAGCAATGCCCGCTCCATGCCTGCGACACCGGCTTCAACGCCGCCAGGCTCGACCATCCAGAACATGCCATCGTACCAGCAGTCTGGCACGCAACAATATGACAACTCGCGGCCCATGTATAACCAGTCTGCTCAGCAGTCCCCTTATCAGACTACCAACCAGGCCTCGCAAGATCGCGCCGTCTACGGGCAAAGTGATCCGTATGCCAAGAACGACATGGGTCCTCCGTCAGCACGACCCGCCACCTCTGGCGCCCCTCAAGATCAGAAGCCCACAAATGGCATCATGCACCCCGACCAAAGTGCTTCCCAGCCTGCCGGCGAGGAGGAGGCAGAGCACGAGCACGATGCCGAGTACACCCACGACAGCGGCGCTTACGATACCAACCGTGGGTCTTACAACTACTCTGCCCCCGCTGTTGGAACGCTTCCTGCTGAACATCAGCACCTGTCTCCCGAAATGACAGGCTCGCCTGGCCACCCGCCCGCATCTGGTCGTGCCACCCCTCGCACTGCCGCCGCACCCCAGCCATACTACTCCCAGCAGGCTGGTTACAACACCCCCCCACGTGTCGCCCAGCAGTCGTCCAGCAACCTGTATAATGTAATGAGCAACGATCGCAGTTCGGCTGCCGCGGGCGCTAACGATGTCTATCAGCCTCAAGCAGACATGGGCCCCATGTCAAACGGCTACCCATCCCAGATCAACGGCTCCTCTGGTGGCATTAAGCGTGGCCGTGACGACGACGATGATCTGCAGCGTCCGCTCAGCGGTGGCGGCATGGACCTCAAGCGCCGCAAGACTCTGATGAACTCGGCGGTCCCTTCTTACGACACCATGGCCCGAGCTGCTCCGGTGATGACTCAACAACCTCAGCGAAGGTAACGGTGACCTTGGGCGACACTAATTCCAGCCACTGCCTTTCGTCACTTCGTTTGAGGGCGTTTTGCGGCTACTTCGGTGCGAGGCATGATCAGTTACGAAAATCTGATGCGATGATCTTGAAGCATTTAAACGGGGCTTCTCGGCACTCCTTGCACACCATTTTCCTATTTGTCTTTTTATTCGCGAGACGACTCATCGGCATCGACGATCCCCTGGAGACGACGATGACGAGTTGACGATTTTTCATTCCTTGTTTCTAAACGCCCGTCATGGCTGTAGATGCTGATGATTGACGCCTTGCATGGAGGAGGACTTAATCCTAAAGACTTGATCATTCTTCTTTTTTTCCGGATCTTGACAACATACACGAAAGAGCATGGTGGGGTTGGGTACGGCTTGCTGTCCCGTTATGACACTCGGGCAAAGCAGCATGTGAACACCACCCCTGGGGGACCGGCCATTAACATTACCGACATTTTTTCTTTGCTTCAGTTTTGAATACAGTGGAGGATCATCTGGTAACCAGTGTGTGCCAGGAATGGGGGATAGGATGATGACCTTATGACGACTCTTGTTCCTTTCACAAAAGTGTGAGACGTATGTTGGAGAATGTCTCTTTAGGTAACGACTTGATGAACGGAAATAAAAAAAGCTGTTGCTGCTTCAGAAAAATGCACTGTGAATGAGAGCCTCCGCGAAACGCAGGAACTGGTAGCCGGTAAGCTGAAGTGCTCGAGGCCAGCATGGCTTAGAGCGTAGTTCGGAAGAGGAACCTGCTCGGAAGTTCTCTAGGGTGAAGCATAACCAGGTCTGTTCGGCCGGCCATGGACTACTGCAAGTCAAGTCCTCTGATATTAGAGCTCCCACGAACTGAAGAGGTACTGGGAACGAGCCTGTAAGCTGATGTAGATGCAGTCATGAGATTGCTTAACATGAACTCAGACAAGAGATGCAGGTAGCAGATGTCACTCTTTTTATCGTTACCTGGGAATGTGTTTATTGTACAGACCTGGAGATAAGGTTATCATGTTCAAGGAGAACTAGGCTTGTGCCTCTCTACCAGCTTTAACGATGGGGAACAAATTTTGAACACTGGCCTGGCCAACTTCGTTACCTAGGTTTACGGTATGTGAGATGAGAGCTGAATAACGTCGAGTTGCTGTGTAGGGGTAAACGGCTAAATCCCGGCCCGTTTCGCCCCACTATCCAAAGGTAAGGTTGTTGACCATTCGCCCAAAGTCGCACCCGCGCTTGGAGGCAGGTACCCTTGTGATGCTGGACTGCAGCTCTCTACGGAGTACTCGAGCTCAACCCAGAGCACCCATCTTGAACAAAACTGCATCCTAGTCGGACTTGTGCCACTCTTTCCCTTAACTTGATATTTGGAATCAAGCAACTATAGATACGGCAATTAATGGTGACAAATACACTGACATTGTTTTAACGGTGCGACGGCATTATTCCACCAATTCGATCTGCGATACCACGAACGAACGAGACCGAGAGCGACTGAATCACACAATGGCCACCCCGACCCAGATGAAGCACGCGGCTTCGCAGCAGGGCCGGACCCCCTCGCAACTCACCGCTGCGACCCCTCCGGTGTCGACACCATTCTCGGTGTCGCAAGCACATGCAGCCTTCTCGCCTAGAGGGCCCAAGTCGTCGCCTCAGCAATTTAAGAAGTCGCCCGCAACCTCGACCACCTTGATGGGCCACCCTGCGAATGGCGCCCTCAATTTCGACAGCCCTTCTGCGGCAGCTGCCATGGGCGCGCTCGGTATAAGTGGCGGACTAGATATTGGGCTGGACCATGTCGGCGTCGGAGGGTTCGGTGGCCTGGGAGCACTGGGCAGCGAGGACGACAAGATCAAGAGACTAGACGGAGTCATTGAAATCCTCGGGGTATGTCAACAATCCTCTCATTTCTTCTCGGACGGAAGCTAACCCATTCCCTTGTAGAAGGCGAAAGGACGAGTCAGCGAAGCCGGGCTCGAGCGGCTTACGCTCAGAACAGGTCTTACTAGCATGTGGGATGAGCATAGGTCGCCCGACGGCAGAAAGACGAGGATGTTGGTCATTGCCGGTCAGGCTTTGACGATTGATATCGAGCTGAACAACAACATTGTGGAGAGCGTCTCGCTGGGCTTCCCGGAGTCGGGCCCCATCGTCACAAGGCACAAAGACCGGGCCGGAAACATCCTTCTCAAGGACCTACAACTTCGCCCCGACCAGAGCCCGTTGACCAAGACGCTAGAAAAGTTCTCTGCAAACCTGGAGCGCTTGGCAAACCTTGACAAACTGAGCGTCATCCCCGGACTAGACTGCCAGGAGGCCCTGGCTGGCATATTTGAGAGTCTCGAGAGGCTCCATAAGTGGGAACTGTCGAAGCTGCGGGAGGACCCTGCCCTGAGTGGCAAGCCAGACCGGTTTCTCGAGATAACTGTCATGTGCACCAAGAGCGGTCGTCCCATGATGCACACGAGAGACATGGTGGGACTCAGCATCGAGTATTGGACCGAGAGACGCCATGTCATTCCCAGAACGCCAGAAACGGCGCGCTACTGCGAGAAAATGGAGAAAGTATGGTCGATTCTCATAGGTTGCAAGGCGATAGATGGTGACATGTTCCCTCCAGTCCGGGTAACAGAGAACTGGATTTCCCAAAAGGTGGAAAAGGACGAGCCTGGACCTGAAGACATTCTCGTTGCAGCTTCTGGACCGGCCCTCGATTGGCTGGAACCGGAGCCCACGACGCTACCCCAGACCGACGACAACAAGGAACCGGGCATCGACGTAGTGCAGCCAGATGGCACGACGCACAAATATCCAAATGTCAAGTTTGTAGCCACGCTCACCCCTTCGGTGATCGTGCCACAATCAGTATGGAACACGCTGCATACCCTCACAGGGGCGCAGGCGCAGCCCATGCCTCTGCCCACCTACACTTTCGACAGCATCTCGTTCCCAATACCCGAGGGTAGCAACCACGATGCGAGCGAGCTCCGCGTCATCTCCTGCAAGAGAATGGTCCAGGTCCCCGGCGACGGCGACACTGTACCGTGGCGGAAGCACAAGAATACGCTACTTATCTACAAGCCCGTATATGGCCAGACCGTGACGGACCTCTCCTTCTCGCACCCGCGGCAGCTGGTGGCAATGCTCCCTATACTTCGCCAGTATGCCTTTATATCGACCTTGCTCGAGAGAAGCTTCGGCTCCAAAATTACCGGCGAGGCCGTACCGGAGGTGGACGATTCCATCGTCATTAGTGATACCACCACGACGCAGGCCGAGTACGACAGGTTCATGTCCCAGACCTACGATACCGACGAGCAGGAGCTTACGCTTGACGTGGTGCTGACTGTCCATCCATCGGCCGGCCTCCACGTCGTTTTCCCCTTCCGAAACGCCACAGCCAACATCGACCTGCAGATACAGCAAAACGGGGTGGTTCACGTGGTGTCACAAAACGTTGTTCCGGCCAACGGCGAAGACGTGGCAGAGACGGACAAGGGCAAACATAGGCAACTTACCCCGCAAGACCTAGGCAGGTTGCTGGAGGTGATGGAAGATCTTTGCTCCTGGGCGGAATGGATCCGGAAGAACCTATCTTAACTCCAGGGACGTCGACGAACCGTTGTCTTTGTGACGCAACCCCCAAATGGTATAACTCCTGGATATTGTTTGGTTTTTTCTTCTTCTGTATAAGTGATACCCAGAGAACCTTCTATTACTCCCTGGACGAGATCACCGGAGCCCGGCTGAGCCGTTCTTTATTTTGGCAGGGAAAGGGAGAGTGTTCATGTCTCCAATGGATACCATTCATGGTAGTAGGTGGGGGGGTTAGATTGCATGAGAGTAACACAGGTTTGCTTTCATGTCTGTGGCGTTGGGCTTCTAGGAGGATGGGCAGGGCTGCGGTCCTGTCCACGCTTGGTGAACTGTCTGCCTGCCTGCCCAACTGTTGAGAGAGTCGTCCAAGCAGCTTTTGAGGCCGGGCAAAGGTAATGCGGAACCACCTGGTGCGCCGACGCTTAGCCTCCATCCTCTGGTTCTTGTTAGTGTCAGCCCCCGGCCTACGAGAAGGTTGAAATCGAAAGAGGAAAATAGTGGAATTGCGAGTTGGTTATGGCTACGTCCTCTTGCTCTTGTTTGGTTCCACTAGTGAAGCGCTCCCCCCCCTTGGGTGCGGGACGATCGCGGGCGTTGCTTGTCGGTATCGATTGACATGCGCGCTCTGCCCTTGCCGAACCCACTGTGACGTCTACGTCTCCCGGTAGTCCGATTGTTGTTGACTCACATGCTGCTTCCTTCGATGTTTTGGGGGGGGATGACGGCGTTGACCTCGAATGACGATACTGGCGATGATGACGAAATTTGGGCATCTACTACCGGTATCTATGTATTTACAACCGCGGACTACTGCACCCGGGGGGGACCCTGGCGTTTCGGATGCGTAAAGTAGTCAACTCTTTCGGGCGGAAGTTGGATGTCCTCTCTGTCTCTGTCTCTGTCTCTCTCTCTCTTTTCTTCCTCCCTTTCTTTTTCTTCACTGTTTTTGATTGCTTCATTCAAGATAAAATCTCAATAGCAAAACCCAGGGTCGGGAAACCGCAGGCTGTGCAGGCTCGATGCCGGATGAGGTCACCCTCCCGGTCACCGACTACTAAACTCGACACGCCAACTGCGATCCTAACCGCGGGTTCCCCTGCCTCCATCCGGGTTCAATACCTACGATGGGTGCATGTCTCGATCCCGCGCGCACGGCGGCAAAAAAAAGGACCGTCCGTCTCGCGGGGGTCTCGGGAGGCATGTCGCACAACGTTTCTTGACGCAATGGAACACAAATACCGTACCGGTAGTCGGATGCTCCCCCCCTTCCTCCGACGGGAAGGGAGATGAGGCAGAGGGAGAAGAAAAGGGCGGATTGTCTGGGGACGTCTGCTCTCGGGTGGCGGCGCCGCCGCGGGCCATGGCTAGGGCCAAACTGGCTGGCCTACCTAGGTACCCTAATTACCTACCTACTGTCCTTCCACTCTTGAAGCCTTGGAGATTCACCTTTGCTTTTACGTGCGACTGCGCCGGGAGCTTAGCCACTATAAGGACCTACAGGGGGTTTAGTGCAGCAATGAGATAGATACCATACTCCCCCCCCCCCCCCCCCCTACCGCCGGCGTCATGATTTCCTCACGTATTGAGATTTTTTATCTTCGATGCTGTAGCCTGTCGGTTTTCTTTTCCGATCTCCTTTTTCGTCTTGGTTGTCTCTCCAGCATAAATGCGCCGCTCTTTTCAGAGACGACAGGCGGCGGTCCAATGACTCAAGTGGGTGCTGGCCTAGTTAGATCTCCCGCGTTTCCTTTCTTTTGCCCATGCGCTTTCGTCACCTTTTGCGGTGGGAGTCTGTGCTGTCCCCATGCTATCCTATGCCTGCTCTGCCCTGCCTGCCTTAGAAGATCGAAAGGTGGGCGGGCGGGAACCACAGAGGGTCGAAGAGGGGGAGGGGGAGGGGAAGGAATGGAGGGGGTTGATATCGATAGGAAAATAGCTACTGTCATTGACCAAAAGTCAATAAACAAATGGATAAGTCAACAAGACGGCTCGAAGCAAAAACGGAGAACCTGCCCTGGTCGACGAAGCGAAATTGGCGGAGATCGTAGAGGTTGCTAGACATTACTTGATTAGACCCAGGACTCCGCAAACTTGTCAAAAGAGGATGGATGCCATCTTTGCCCGTGCCTAGGTGTTTACCTTTGGCGTCCTGGTCTTGCCATAACGGCAGCATCGGAATTAAATCTGGGTGGTGAGAAACCGGAGGCCAATCCGACTCGTCGTTTGTAGGTCTGCGTGCCCCCGATACCATGCCGGGAAATCTGCGATACTGCATCGTATCAGAGATTTGACAACTAGAAAAGCGTCCGGCTGGTCCACTTGTTTTTTCCAACACCCCCAAGGTCAGAGGATCGTGTCATCCCATCTCTTCCTTTCTTCCTGTTCGTGTTCCGGTTCATGTGCAATATTGGTGTAACCCTTGGCTGACACTTCGACTTTTTAGCTTGCATTCCCGCCTGTTGCCCCTCTTGTAATGCAACAGCGAATCTCTTCCTGGCGGAGCCCGCTCATCCTTCTTCCCCTCTCAGCCTGGGAGGAGCCCGGCTGTCTCTTGCAAGCTGCCTCTGCGCTGTCCGCCGACTCCAGTGAGGGTCAAAGAGCGTCCGAGCTTTTGAGGTAGGCTCGAACCGCCGCCTTAAGCTCTCCCCGCCACTGTGGGCCGAATAAGAAGCGTGGTCCTGACCTGACACTGAACCCCCTCAATGCTGCGGGCCCCGTTTTATTCTTGATCTTGCGCGGCCCGTTGAAGAGGGAGGAGATCCGCTCGATGGCCTGGAAGAGCCAAAACGAAGAAGAGAAAGAGAAACGCCGGTTTCTCCTCAGAATGAAAGTAGTGTAAAGCCGCTGTCGCGCCCTATGTGTCTGAGCTTTCATTGCTCCTAAAGCTCCCACGATGGGAGACAACCTTGAAAGTCATTTTTAGGTGCCAGATGACTTGCGGTAGAAAGTCAAGAGACTGGATGAGCTGGCCGGTCTGGCAACTTGAGACGCCTGAAGCCACTCCTTCGTCGTCCTTTTTTTTTTTTTTTTTTTTTTTTTTTTTTTTTTGCGCTGTCTCGGAGAGCTCAGTGCACCTTGCGGCGTCGTCCCCCAGATTATGATCAGATTATGAGTGGGAAGCAACGCAATGCAGCACTGCGACCAAAAGCATGAATTCGTAATATTAGACGCAATTAATCACCAAGCTTGCTGCTTTCCCCATTGGAGCATGAGGGATGGATGACCCGGGAGATTGGGGTGGGAATCAACGAGGCAAGGCCAAATAAAAGCTGTTGGCTGGTTTGGTGGTTATGACACTGGTGACGGTGGCGACCGACGGTGGCGACCGACGGTGGTGGTGGTGACCTCGGCCAAAATTGGACGAGTGTACATACAAGAGGCAAGGAAGGTACCCCGATAATAGGTACCCGTGTTGACGAAGTATTTGTTTTGTTGGTGTTGGTGTTTTTGTTTTGTTTTGGTTCCCGGTGGTGGCTTGTCGCGTTTGTTTAGGGGCCTGGCTCTATTGCTCATGGATCAGCCGCTTTCTATTTTGAACGCTAAGCCCACCCTCCCCCGCCGTGCCCGCTGACAGACAGTCGCCCAACAGTGGCCGCTCGTCCTCGGCCGGCTGGTGTAAGCCAGCAATGACGACTTGGAAAGAGGAAGAAGGAAAGATGGGAGCGGTTCGCTGCATCTTGACGGAGTCCAGATGAACAAGTGGCAGACTTATCGTGGCTTCGAGACCAGGGTCCTTTTGCACTCTGCAGACTGCAGCTGCTACACTACTGCAGAGTGTGACCGTGACCGTGACTGACTGAATCTGATCAAGGCAAATGAACAGGGGTTCCGAGAGCTTCTTCTGGGTTGAAGACGGGTGCCTTTCCCCTGGGATGGATGTAAGAGCGCAAGCCTCGTCTCCTCGCCCTGGCCTTGGTTGGACTATCGCTTGCCGCAGGTCGCGCAACGCACAGAACAGGAGAAAAAGACGGATCCGTACCAGTGTGCCTGTGCCTATGCCTGTGTCTTGATGGTCGGGTTTGTAGTCTCGCCTCCCAAGTGTGTGTGTGTCTTTCTGTCTCCAGAACCTACATACCTATTCATCTCCCTTGTTGTTTTGCCCATATTTTCCCTTTCTCGAGGGAGGACTGCATGAGACCTCAGACGCGTGGGCGGGACCCTGCAGGCAGAGGGAGATGCATCCAATGAATGTCGGCGGCAGCCCCCCATAAGCGTCCCCTGGTCCAGAGTTGGGGTCCCCTGGCTTTGCTCTTCGTACACATCACTGCCAAACCGTTGGGTTAGTGATGTCAAGGCTGGGAAGAGGTCGTGGATCTGTGTGGTGTGGAACTTTGCGACATGTTAGAGTGTGATAACGGAGGACACAAGACACAGAGTCCAAGGTCGGGCCCCAACGCGAGAGACCAAGACATATTGTCGCCTCGGGATTCTTCAGTTGAGACGTCTGCATGTCTAGACCCGAGTGACGAGATTTGTTTTCCTCGATCCTGGACCTGCAGCTGCGACCTGACGTCTCTTGAAAGACCTTAGCCTGGGTCTTGCTCTAACAGACCAACTCCACTTTTAAGACGCGGAATCACGTGGAAGCTAGCTTGTTTTGGAAATATTGTAAACAACACACGCAACGCGCGCCATCGCGAAAAGCACCAGCACCCGCAAGACTCCATAATCCCATCACACACACTTTCCACGTCTCGCTCTCCCCCCCCTCCCCTTCCCGTTCCAGCGCACTCTGTCCAGTCACGTCTCGCCGTTGACCGTAAGAGTGTCCATCCTGACTGCGACCCCCCAGCTTGAGCGTACCATTTCTGCCCGCCTGCCCACCTGCCAGCCTTGCCCATCCCATCTTCCTTCTCTCTCTATCCCGCCCACGCCCACTACACCCACTTACTCGCCGCCGGCTCGCGCTGCGCTGCACTTTCGCACTTTCACACCCGCATCCGCACCCGCTCTCTCGCTCACACAACCTGACGCACACACTCACCGCGCATCGCATTCCCTCCCCCAATCCGTTGCGCCTACCTCTCTCTCACTCTCACCTCTCCAAACCTTCTCTCCTCTTTTTGTTTGGTGTGTTGCGTCCATCTTCTGCGCGTGTTTCCAAGTTTTTTGACCCCAAAGCAAGTCACCTCGCACCGAGAAACTTATTCGCCACCACCCGCGCGCGCATCTGATACCCCCGAGCACCACCTAAGACGAAGAAACTGTCTACTATTCCTTCACGCGATGACTTGAGCGAGCCATCTGCCGATCACGAATCGCGACTAGAGGGGAATGGAGAAGCGAAACAAAACGCATAACCTGAACGTTCCTGCTTGCCAACCCCCCAGGCCTTAGCGCCATGCAGTAGATGCACTTGCGCTCCCGTCCCGTCCCTACTCTCGCCTCGCTTTGCCCTCATCCTGTCTGGGCTCTCTCCCTCTTTTTCTTTCAGCCTTCTTTCCTGCAACATCGCGCCCACCTCCATCACTTTACCAAGAAATAGGGCGCCCTTCCCCGGCTGACCAGGGCCATATCGCCTCGTCCACGTGTAACCAGCCAGTCCTGGATACTTGGACCCCTAAACACGTCCCATTTCCATTACCATCTTGGGCCAAACAACACCCTCCAAGCATTGACGATAATAAGCACGACCTTGCACACCAGGTAAATCTGTGCTCGCACAGTCGGTATCTCTCCGGTTCTCGCTATCTGCGGAGAAGACAGAAACCATTACGCGCCATACCCTCCAGCCTCTCTGTATACCTCCATCGATCGCGCCTTTGGCTACCGCCCACCTACTTCCCTAGGTTCCTCAGCGAAACAGTATACGACGACAAATACCAGCGACAGATTGTTTGGAAGGATTGCTTCATTCCTTGAGCCTACACCATATCACATTGCGTGACGCGCCTCTTTGTATTTCGACAGCGAACAAAACAACAATCACCACCACCACATAACTCCCAAAAGAAGACACCCAACCGGCACGGCACAAAGAAGACAATCACGATGTCGTTCTCCAACAGCAGTGGCGGGACGCTCACTGTTCCCAGCCCCACGCACGTCCACCATGCCGACGTTCTTGCATCATCAGTCAGGAGCCTCCGACGCTCCCTCTCAAGATCACCATCTAAGTTCAGCCTGGCGCGTACAAGCTCACCAAGCTCTGAGAGTTCTCACAGCGGATCCCACACTCCTGTGCAGCAGCAATCGCCTTGCCGACGATATACGCCAACCCCGACACCTCCCAGCAGCAGCCACGACAACACTACCGCCTTTGGGGAGTCATTCCAAAGCCACACCCCAGCGGGGCTCCCTCACTCGATGACCTCGACAACGCCTTTCAGCTCCCCGCCAAGCCTCGCGACACCCTTTCGTCCCAACGTCCGTCTTTCTCTACGCTCTGCAAAGACCTCGAAGGCAACCGGCAGCCCCTCGAGGCCGGCTACCCGACTTCGGACATCGCCCAAATCCCCCCTCAAGCGCGCGCTGAGCGCTACAACAGAATCGGGGGTAAATTCCACCCCTTCCTCATCTTCAAGCTCGGAGGCCTCGGGCCAGGAAAATAACCAATCTTCTGCACAACAGAGCCCGCATTCGCGATCGTCCGCCCAGAAATCTCGCCATAGCCTTCATCTAGACGTATCAGGCCACGCCCAGCAGACGAATATTTTCAAACATCTGGAAAGTAACGGTGATTCGCAGGGAGCACCAGGGTCGGGTGCTCTCAAACGCAGCGACGCCATCATGAACCTGGACCAGGCGTCTCTGGGCAGTCCCGTCGCGAAACGACGGAGTTTGCACGGCATTTCAAATTTTGGTCAAAACGCATATGATTTCAACATTTTCGATAACACCAACAGCACCACGAGCAAGACCAATTTCGACATCCATGACGAAGCCAACCGGGAGCGCGAGTACGAACTTTTCGGTTCAAGTCCTGCTGCTCGGGAGCCTCTTTCTTCACCGACTCCGCCTCCGCAGATCCCGAGAAGAACTGGATCGCTCCGACGGTCGACGCTTCAGCAAAGACAGCACGATCGAAGTTCTTGGGGTCGGAAGTCTGGTGCGAATCACCTTGCTCAAATGGCCGGTGAATTCTCTTCTCCCAATGTCAAGAATCGACCGCGTCTTTCGATGGATCAGTTCCTCCCTCCTCAGCTCCCGCGGGACAGCCCATTCACCTCCAACGGACCCTTGCCCAACCCTTCAGCTCACCCTATTGACCGACCTTTCCATCAACCTCACCCTCTGTCCAAGACGCTAGTCACTTCTACGTCCGGTAACAACCTCGAGGAGCAGAACAGCAGTATGCCTCCTCCTTATGTCTTTGAGAAGCCACGAGCTCCTCTCAGCTTTGCCAAGTCTATGCCTTACGGATCTTCTCGACCCTCGTTTATGCAGGAAGAGGGCGAGAATGTTACGCCTTTCAAGGCAGCCAAGCCATGGGCTGGGGCTTTCATGTCAACTGGTCTTGTTTCCAAGGTGAACCGCAATCCGGAGGAGGACAACAAGTTGACGATGCCCGATACCCCTTGCAAGAAGCCCACTAATGGCTTCGCAACTTTCCCGCCTCCGCCTGGCAGTGCGATCAAGAAGAGCAACCGCTATTCTTTTGGCGGCATGCCCTCGACGCCCTTCAATGCTCCAGGGGCTCCATCTCGCAGCACATTCGGCAATCCTGGAAAAGGACTGGGTATCTTCCAACGACTTGGATCGCGTCATGCGCGCCGGGGCAGTGTCTTGAGCTTGGATGAAGATAAGAAATTCTCCCTCGACACAAACTTCAATGTTGGTCCGGGGGCCGAAACTGATGCCCCTCCGACTCCTACAAAGCAGGGTCTTACGCCCAGCTTAAGCAATCTGAGTGAGCAGAGCATCGAGAGCCCCAGCGCCAAAAGGTCGCTCCCGCCCCCCATGTCTGCTGTCCGGCCAATGATTTCCAGAGAGTCTACTGGTAAGTGTGCTTCCCAGGAGCGGTCTGGCGACGAGGATGATAGTGACTCGCCGAGCTCTCGGTTTGGTCCTGCTATCTCGCCCATTTGCAGACTGTCTTCTTCCCAGCATCTTTCTTTGCCGTCATTTTGTCGTTCCAGAACGGCAAGGGGTCAACTGGACCCTGCGGCTTGCGCTTATCAAATGAATTTGTTGGCTAAGAAAAGTACTTCAAACACAGCTAGCCCAGTGGAACAACGCTCCCCGCGAACTCCCTCAACTCACGTTGTTCTTCCCGATGCCAGCTGTCTATCCATCTCCAATCCCGCCGAGTCGCAGAGTACCACTACTCCAGTCACGCCGTCAGGGCGTGACTCCTTCCAAAGCACTACTACACAGCTTATGACTCCCGTCAATGCCGGTCGTGGCAATGCAGATGTCGATGACTCACTTTACTCTCGCTTCGACAAGGTCGAGATGGTCGGCAAGGGAGAATTTTCCTCCGTCTACCGCGTGGTCAAGGCCGGATACTCTCGCGCCTCCTTCCTCTCTGTCTTTAGTGGAACACCTACGAAGAACCCTCGCGAGAGTCCCGAGCCCGACCGCATTTACGCCGTGAAGAAAGCGCGCCGTCAGTTCACGGGCCCTAAGGACCGCCTGTCCAAGCTCAGAGAAGTCCAAGCGCTTCAAGCCCTGACACACGCAGATCACGTTGTCCACTATGTCGACAGCTGGGAGTACAACCAGTACCTTTACATCCAGACAGAGTATTGCGACGAAGGCACTCTAGACAAGTTTCTCAGCAATGTTGGTCGTAAAGGCAGACTTGATGATTTCCGTATTTGGAAAGTTATCCACGACATAGGCTTGGTATGTTTATTGTGTTCCCCAGAGTAGGATGAGGCTAACCAAGAGGCAGGGCCTGCAAAGCATCCACGAAGCTGGCTTTATTCATCTCGACTTGAAGCCGGCCAACATTCTTATTACCTTCGAAGGCATCCTCAAGATCGGCGATTTCGGACTGGCAACGGAGTGGCCCGCTGCCAAGGGTGTCGATGCGGAAGGAGACAGAGAATACATCGGCCCTGAAATACTACGTGGCGACTTTAACAAGCCTGCAGACATCTTCTCTCTCGGTTTAATCACGATCGAGATGGCTGCCAATGTCGTCCTCCCAGACAACGGCCCTACTTGGGTTGCTCTTCGTTCTGGTGACCTCTCTGAAGTCCCTAGTCTGACCTTCAGCGCCACCACTACAACAAATGCTCACCGAGACGCGGCAGGGGTTCCCACGGTGCAGTCGCTTGATGACCCGCTCCTTGGCCAAACCAGTGCTCCGGATATCAGTCTCCACTCGGGTGCTGCTCCTACTCGGGTGAGCGTGATCATGGACGACGAGAGTCCTTTTATTACGCGCAAGCGCACGGAGCTTAGGTCTCCCCCGGATTTCATGAGCGATCCTTTCCACTCTAGCTCTCTCGATCAAATCGTCCGATGGATGATCAGCCCAGAGCCGAGTGAGCGACCAACCATTCAACAGTTGCTATCAACTCCCTCGATGGTGTGGGTCGCCCAACGTCGCAGATCAGCTGCAACCGTCTTCGAAGGTGTTTGGGGACCTAGCGAGTCAACCGCACTCCCCACCTTGGTGGACGAAGATATCGAAATGATGGACGTCTAAGCGCGTTCCATACAGATATATATGCCGCACCAGTCGGCTTGGAAGCTGCCCACCACTCTGTACTCTGGCAAAGGGTGCGTAGAGCCCTCAACGCCTCGTCTGGATTGAATAATTCTGGCTCGATCACTCTTCGAGGTGGATACACCGAGATGCAGTCTGAATTCTAGAAGATGGCATTGAGATGCGAGCCCGTGCCTCGCAGTCTATGATGACTACTGAATACTACTTTAATACGGCGGCGTTTAACTTACGACATGACGATGCTACGGTCCAGCCCTACGAGGAGTTCAACAAGGTCTCCTGCGGATATTGTGTGATTACGTCCTTTTTGGTTGTACGCTTAACGGCATGTCAAAACGACAAATCGTTTTAACTCGGCGAACAACTTTTGAGGAAAAGACTTCTCAATTAATATGGCTAGCGAATCATCGCCACAGTTATTTGTTTGAAGGAAATACTGGAAGTTTGGCAGCCTAGGAGCATGGCTCGACAACGATCGGGCCTTTTTCTTTTGTTATGGCTTCGGCTGATACCAGACTTTCGTGTATAGACTAGATAGATCTGTATTCCTTTTCGAAATGTGTCAAAAACGGCACTGGCCCCGCAGCTTTTGTGGCGTCGAGTACGAGAGAGAGAGAGAGGGGGGGGGGGGGGGTAAGGGCCCGAGGGAAAAAAGGCTTTAGAGGCTTCATTTTCGATTTCCTCTCCGGATCAAAGCATTGTGTGGGCAACAGTGGCACTTGAAGAGCTTCGACGGGAAATCGAGGTCACAGGCGGCTGCATCGCGCACATTTCGCATCATGTACATATGAATAATTCTGTCAGAGTATGGGCTGGCGATTGGGGACGAAGAGGACAGGAAAAGGGCTTTTCTTTTGTCGTGTGCCTTCGAGCGCACTAACCACCCTGGTTATGGTTGTTTTAAGGGTTCTTCTTTTGAGGAATACTGCATGGTAACCGTATTATGCGGGCTTACCCGAAGATCAGATAGATCATCTCCTGGCCAGACTGCGCCTGTTCCCTTTGTCATGGGGAGGTTGCGATCTTTTTGGGCTCATGATTCCATGACGAAATGGCATGATAGTTACGAACTTTTCCATTCAAACCAGCCTGAGATGGTCTGTTTCAAAGCGACTTGATTCTTCCCGTACTTCTGATTCCTAGCCTAGAAGCATCTATCTATATCTAGCCTTGATACTGACTCTTGGGCCTGGCACAATCAGGCCCGCTACAGCCTGTAATGCAGCAAATATGGCAAGGTAAATGATGGGTAGGTAGTTCGTCATTCATAGGGGCTCCCCAGTTCTTCTGCGTAAAAGATCCACTCAATTGAATTTCCCTCCTTCCCACCAGCCACGGTATGCAACGCCTAATAACAATATGTCTGTGGCATCATCGAACGTGCAGTTCTCCCCTCTTCTACCACTCCGAGAAGGAAAACGAAACAGACTTCCAAAGGCCTGAATGGACTGTCTCAGCCGGCATGCCTCGCTTGGCCTCCAAGTGTTTATATTGCGTGATCGCGGCGGCTGTGGGCATTGCTCGCGACCTGTAGTAATTCCACGCCCATTCCAACCCGTTTATAAGCACCGATCGAGCCTCTGCTTCACCTCACACTCTGGAAGTATTAGCCGAGGCCGTCGAGGTCGCCTTGGTCTTCCTCCTTGAGGGTTGGTATACGTCATTGAAGTTCATGGCAACACCGAGGAAACGCATGTCCACGTCAGGCTGATACGCTAGATCGCCCAATAGGATCTGGAGGCGGGAACGGAACGTGGCGCCGAGCTGCCGTAGACGGTCTTGGAGGACGGGAAATTCTGACGCGACGGCCGGGTTCTCGTCCTCGCCGTCCACGCCCGGCTCCGACGGCTTCTTTTGGTGACGGGCACTGCGGGCCGACATGCGCATGACGTCGGCCTCCTGCCGACGCGTGAAGTCTGAGACGCTCCAGCTGTAGAGGCCGTCAACAGAGTCGCGGTAACTTAGCATGGCGCGCAAAAGGTCACCGAGTTGAGAAAGGTAAGATGTCCGATCATCTTCGCCCGTCGCCATGTCGGCGTTGCGGACGCTGCGCCGCGCGCCAAGGAGGCCTTTGTGGGTGATGTCATTGAGGTAGCGAGTATGAGCCTTGATGAGGTCGTCTAGCGTGCATCCTTCGCGATGGATGCGCTTCTGGAGTTCGTTCCAAGATGACTCGATGACCTCAAACAGGATGTAGTATTGGAGTTGGCCGATAAAGTGAATCATCTCCGCAAGGATTCCACGGGTTGACTTCCAGATTTGTACGACGACTGGGTCAGAGTTCTGGAGCACCCCACGCGAACCTGTCATACACTTGCGCCAAGTCGAGGCCAGGGCAAACTCGACACGCTTGATGCGCCACAAAAAGTTGAAGACTTTGAGGTATTGTCGGTTGCCCCAGTCCGTAACCACGACATCCACTGGAGCATCAACTTTGTATTCTAGCGTAAAGCAGTCCCATCCAATGTCGCCGTGCGATAGCTGAAGCATGCGAGCGTCGAGACGGCGAAGAACCTCAGGAGAGTCGTACTGCGCGTTGGAGCCGCGGATGGCATGCTCGAGCTGCGCTGTAAGGGTATGTCGGTATTGGGCACCAGCAGGACGGTCGAGGTTCGCGGCGAGAGATTCCATAAGAAGAGCGATGAAATCCCCTTGTCCGAGAAGGATATAATTCTTCAGGGCCTGAAGATGTTCAAAGAGGTGGAATTTGTTCGCCATGAGGTCGATGAGACGCTTCATCGTCGTCTTGTACGCCTCATCGATCCAAGCCTCAAGCGTGGCAGTATCGCCATAACGCAATTCCTTCGAAGCCGCCTTGGAGTAGTCCTCAACCCATTGTGAGTCACCGCAGCTGTGTCTGATGAAGTTAAGAGACTTGCCAATGAGGAAGACTTTTTGGGCAAAGTCCTGCGTGATGATACTAGGAACCATGTCCTTGTCGATCTCGTACTTGTCTTCCCAAACACTGCTACCGCCTGTCTTGGGCTCATCCATCTGCTTCTGTTCCTTTACAAAGAACTCACAGAAAGGGTCGAGAAGCTCACCGTCATAGATCCACCGACGCAGGATGTCGTAAAATGGGCGAGTGACATGGACAAGCAGCCGTTCAGCAAACGCTGCTACCATGGGATCGCCATGCGACGATGAAAATCCGTGGATGAGAGAAATAAGCTGGCCGCCTCGTTTGCTCTCCGACTCTTCGGCGATGAGACTCATGAGTCTTAAGCCCATTGTAGGCTCCCGTGTCCATACCACGCATCTTTTCAAGGTCACACCTGCCTTTCCAATGCCGCCTCTTGGAGCAGATTCGTCTAGCGAAGACAGCGCTCTTCGAATCTGGCCTTCAAGAGTCGCGACCAAGCTGAGGTATGACCGTAGCTCTCCACCTATGGCAGCTCTGATACTTTGCCTCAGCAAACCTTGCGCAGGGGATTTGACGAAAACATCGAGGTTCCGATACAATAAGGAGGGCTCAGATAATGTGTGCAGGAGCGAAATGATTGGCGATGGTAATGTCGGAGGCAATGTGACAGTGTCTGGTTTCGAGAAGGGCAACGTTGTCGATGACAATCCCTGCAGAGTGAAGGGAAGGTCCCGCAAGAGAACTGTCTCGGAGGGCTCGATCTCGGTGTAATTGTCGGCCAGCAGCGTCGACTTCAAAGCAACCTGTCGTTTTTTTGCCTCAGACTCCTCCAGCTCCTTTTCATTTTCCTTGTCCTTCTCTCTTTCGTCGACCGACTTGTTCTTGGGATGTTTCGGTGGGAGCTTCTTCAGTCCCTCGGGCGCAAAAGCGTCGTTGAACTGCTCTTCTTCTTGCCTTGAAATCGGCGTGGAGTTTTTGGAAGATCTTTCTCTCTCGTGTTTCCTAGATGGATCGCGCTGCGTTTGCGAAGGGGGATTTGGCGGAGGCAGGGGTAGTGGTTCGTTGGGGTCTGGCGAGTCGGCAAGCTGGTAAAGGAGGTACAGAATGGCCCATTTCTGGCCCAGAACAGGTAGAGAAAGAAGGCGTGTGTAGAGGTTTGAGAAGCGCAGCGCTTGTGTCGGATTGCTCTGTATGAGCTTCCTCTTTATCAGGTCTGAGGCATGGTTGACGTCCGAGGAGATAGCGGGGGACGCGGGGCTGTGGGACGGCTTCGGTCAGTGATTAAGCAGGAATTGTATAACCTCAACAGTTTCCGAGACTTACGCTTCCAAGACCGACTTAACCAACTCAAAGCAGTTGTCGTGTCGCTCTTGGGCGGCAGCGTCGTCTTCGTGGGGATCGTTGGGTATCAGGTGTGCGATTAGGCTGTCAACGGCGCTGGCAATGCGATGCTCGCGGTTGGCCGACATGATGGCATCGCCGAGGACTGTTCGGACTCGGAAATGAAGAGGAGGATGAGGCCTTCTCGAGCAAAGTCCCCAGAATGAGTAGGCGGGTCTCTAGCTCGAGGAGAGAATGGCGAGAGCGAGGCTTCGTCGTCAAAAATGTGCTTCAAAGTGTGTATCCGCAGCGAATGCAGCCCACTGACCGACGCGCTGGACGCGACTTCACAGTGCTGCTGATGCCAATTGCAAGCAGTCTACAGGGGGTATATGGGGAAGTGGTCAAGGCGCCTCACAAAGTACCTTGGACCCTCCCGCACCGCAAATATCGCATACCTTGCTTGGTCTCCTCTACCTCTATCTCTTCCCCGGGCTCGGTCCTCCCCTGGCATTTGTCGTCAGACAAAATTTCCATTGACAAAGCAGTGCAGCAACTCTCAATCGCATCCCGTCTTCCTCCACTACCCGCAGTCGAGAGAGACCGAGACAGACCCGACTGCTGGACCTCACCTCCGACCTTCGCCATCTCGCCAGCGCCCGCAACATGCCCCGTTCATCAAGATAATACCGGCTTCGAGATCGCATCGTCTTCCTCTTTCGTTTCCTGCTGCTCATGAACATATTATTCGCCTTGCGCCTAGTCCTGCCTGCTATTGCTGCTCTCGCGCACGCGACTGTCGCTCAGATCCACTAATACGCCTGGCGACGTGATCTGCCTCTCTGGCATCCCGTCGTCGCAATGCCCGACATCGACCCCGCGGCCTTGAGCAGCCGCCCATCTGTCAATATCTCAACGCCGACGTTGTCTACCAAGTCCATTACTGTGCAGCCTCCCGGTTCCCTCAAAACTTCGAAAACAAGCCAGATCATTCCGGCCCGCATTGACCTTGAGCCGTTGTATACCGCTTTGAAGCAGACCATCGGCTCCGAAGCATGGGTCGTGTACAAGGAGTCAACAACAGAGTTCCTCATCGGTAACCAACCCACGACATCGGCGCATTATCTTCTCTGCTTGCTAACCCCTTTATCTAGGTCGGCTGAACCAGACCGAATACTCGGAACGAATCGATCCTATCCTCGCATCCCCCAATGGCGAAAGGGAACACCTCCATAACCAGCTAATAGCTGCTATTTACGGCAATGTCACAAGAGAGATGCCCGACCAGGGGCTTGCCCCCTGGGTTAGCGCTAACGACAAGCCGACCGCGCCTGTTGGCAGTAAGCCTGTCTCTGGCGATGCTGCAGAGCGTCGTCTCAAGGGCGATGTCATGCAATTGCCCACCAAAGACCGTCGGCGCATCAAGGACTTGGCTTCTAACGATGTTGGTTTCCATCCCTTTCTCTTCAAGCCACACGTTTCTGATACTGGTGTTAAACAGTTCGATCCTCACGAGACCCTTTCCAACGTCTTCCTCGAAACCCACAGGCGACAGTCCAAGCCGGCCGAAGTCCCGCCCAGTGCTGGAGGCATTGGAGGCATCAACAAAATGAGTATGCGGAACCAAATAGAACCTTGTCTTCGAAGGCCAACGCTGACCGGAATGCAGATTTCGACTTGGAGATTCGCAAGCGCTTTGCACAGCCATTGGCCGTGGAGTCAGGCGAATTCCCGGACGCCCCTGTAGTGGAAGGTAGGATGCTGCCTTTCTGCTATGAGGCAGGCCTCACCAATGGTCATGTCCAAGAAGCGCCACACTTCATGTCTGTTGCGACAGAAACGTTCATCAAGGAAGCCCTAGCTGCTATATTCTCCAAGACGAGGAGCAATGGTCCGGGAGAGGGCGGAACCGCTGGTTTCGGCGCCGGTACGCAATGGATCCAAACCCACAAATACCGGCATCAACTTGTGAAAGAAGAGGATGCGGCTTTACGAGGCGAGCTTACCCGTGATAAGAGCGGTCTGTTGCCTATCGAGTCGAAAGCCGCGAGCGAGCGTGGTCCTCTTGGTATGGCAGACGTACGGATCGCCCTGGAGATGGCAGACAGCGGCCTGGCACAATTTCCCATCATCAACACGGCAATATCGTATGGATATCGTGAAGGAGAACTCGAAAACTGGCATGATTATACCTGGCTCCCAGGTCTTGAGCCCAATGGAATCAAGGAGGCAGACGTCCCCGATGTCAAACCGCTGGCTGTGGAGCAGCTGCCGAACGGACACGTCGACGAAATGGAGATTGACTCGGAGCCATGGTGGGACGGCGCAGATCCTCAAGATATGGGCGCGCTTGATTCCGTGCTAGATTCGTGTCTGGCCGTTGGATCATAGTATGGGCGACGACCAGAACGACCATCGTGGGCTTGTAAGAGAGACAAGCTCTACTCGAAACGCTTTGTTCGGGGTATCCATCCTATATTTAAGGATTGGGGGCGTTTGTGGGGCTGGACAAAGAAGCACATTCAAGCTCGACCCCAGAGACACAACGGCGGGAAAGGTAAATAGGAGGGTTATTTTGCTGCCTTTGGATGTCATATCCATCCAGCATAGCCCCATATCAGCATTGGCATTAGGAAAGGCGTCGTCGGCTCTTTTTGTTCTTTGGCCATTAGGTCTTTTTATTTTTCTTTTGGCTATCCTGACATGAGAGGTAGGAGGGGGGTAGTTGTGCATGCTCTCAACTTCATCATGGAAACAAAGGAGGCGTTCAAGGTTTTTTAGTGAAGGAAGGGTTCTGTACAGTAAGGACGATACCCGATTGCTCGCTCTTCATGGGCCTCACAAGTATGGAAAGGTGGCGAACAGGGTGATTTCATTTAGCGGGACGTTATAGATGACTTCATGTAACATATATTACAAGCTTCGTCTGTGTGTCTTTGGAGTTTCAAGATTTCGCACCTGTTTCTAGAACTGGCATCCTATTTTGAAGCCACGTGTGTCATTTGTTTTTGGAAATGCGACTGGATCTAGTAAGTACTAGTTGCATGTTGCTCGGTCGTCATCGTCTTTCTACAGCTTCGAAACTGGATCGCCAACTTCCCGCTTAGCCTTTTCTCTGAGGATATTTCGCAGGATCTTGCCGGACTGGTTGAATTGTTAGTCTGCCTGTTTCGAAGGGCGGAGGTAATACTCACAGGGTTCTTGGGAATGGCATCTGTAAAAACAACACCACCCCTGAGGCGTTTGTGCTTAGAAACTCGTTCCTCCAACCACTTGGCGATCTCCTCGCCAGTGGAATTGGTCCCAGGCGACCGTACAATGTAGGCCCGGGGGAACTCCTCTCCGCTAATTGTAACGCCGATGACGGCGACATCGGCAATGTCCGACCGCTCGAGGAGAAGAGCCTCAAGTTCGGCGGGGGCAACCTGGTTTCCCTTGACCTTGATAAGCTCCTTGATACGATCGACGACAAAGAAGAGACCGCCCGTCGCGTACTGGTCGACATATGCGATGTCACCGGTGCGCAGCCAGCGGTTGCCCTCGACGTCCGCGATGATAGTCTCCTCGGTCGCCTTGGGTTTGCCCCAGTAACCACGCATGACAGTGGGACCCGTGACCCAGAGCTCGCCAGGCACCTTTGCCTCGGTAATCTCTTGACCGTCCGCGCCGACGAGCTTGGCCTGGTAGTTGGGCATGAGCTCGCCAACGGAAGCGCTGCGCACAAGGCTCGCCGAGTCCCAGGTCATGGCAGAGCAGGTGACCTCGGTCATGCCCCAGCCCTGGCGAACGATAAGATCGTCCTTTTTGAGGGCTCGTTCCGTCTGGCGAGCGATATCAGCGGCGAGAGGCGCGGCGCCAGAGCCGACGACCTCGAGGCTACTGAGATCGAACTTTGCGGTAGCGGGGTGTTTGGCCAAAGCGACCAGGATGGGCGGCACGGTAGCAAGATGTGTGATGCGGTAGCGCTGAATGTAAGTGAGCATTTTGAGGAAATCGAAGTTCGGCATGATGTAGACTGGGATGCCCTGCTTGGCGAAATTTGCGACGAAGTACGTCTGAGCATAGGCGTGGTAGAGAGGCAGGAAGCAGAGACCAGCGGAGCGAGCTACGAAGGCTTCATAGTCCTTTTCCAGAGCTGACACCTTGACGACTCCAGCCCCGTTTGCGACGTAGTTGTAGTGCGATATCTCGACGCCCTTGGGCACGCCAGTTGTGCCAGAGCTGTAGTTGAGACAGCACGTCGTCATCTGGGAGTCGGAGGGCTCAACCCAATCGAACTTCTCGGCCTGCACCCTAGGGGCGACCAGCTCGGTCCAGTGGCGGGCACCACCCCGCGCGAGGCTCTCGGGCTTGCTCGAGCCAGGTATCGTGGTGTCTAGAACGAAGACGTTGCTCGCAGGCATGGAGACCTGCTTCGCGGCTTCCATCGCAGTGTCGAAGTTACCATCGGCAGCAAGCATGAACTTCGCCCCGCTGTCCATGAGCTGGTACGCAACCTCGCGGGTAACGTAGCCCGGGTTAGCGCCGGTGAAGATGCCGCCGGCCATCAGCACCCCGAGAAAGATGACAGGGAAGAAGAGGTTGTTGCCCGAAAAGAGCAGGACGCGGTCGCCGGGCTTGAGACCCGCAGTCTGGAGGCCGATAGCGATCTGCTTAGCCATGAGGCGGTAGTCGGAGAAGGTCAGGTAATGGGTGTCTGGTCTGTCGGCATCATAGAAAGCCTTGCGGTCGGAGAGGGGGTCGAAGGAGGACCCGAATATCCATGTCTGCAGAGAACAGTTCGGAATAGGTTCCGACCATCGTGATTTGATCGGCATATTTGCTGTTCGCTGGGTTGTTTCGTCTGATTCGAACGGTAATTAGGCTTCGGTATAGAGTTCGGAATCGAAATAAGTGGCAAAAGCGACTGACAAAGATTGTTGTGCTGGCACGTCGGGGCCTAGAGCGGTTGGGAGATATGAGTTCTTCCCGTATTGGTATAGGAGATGTCGGAACTGGCAGATCGTCCAGCTCGAGAAGGACACTGTTTCAACAAGAGCTGGAAATTTGCTATCGAGATCCAGGTCTAGGTTGCAGTCGCGGGTTCCGTACCTCGAGGAGATTTGATGCAGTATTCCTGATTACGAGTCAGTGGACAGGGATTGTTCTTACTACTATGCCAGAACACTCCAGGAAATGGAACTTCCCTGGGAATCAGGCATCCTACTTACCTACTCATCAATGAAGGGGAAAGACGAGATCAACGCGGTTTAAATCAACTAAAATGATAACACTGAGGATGGAGGTGACAAGAACTGCTACGTAGAAGCGGGTTTCTACAGCCCATATAACGGGGAATCGGGACGAAACCTCTGGCCATCGCGCTATGCCCGGCCAATGGCTACGACCTTCCAGCGAAGCCATGGCTTGCAACGGATTCATCCAAACCGTGAGGGAACAGCGCCGTCGTGACGTGGGATCACCGCATCAAACCCCTGTCGAATGCGGGGATGGAAGTGTAAGGGAAAGCTCCGCGACTGGGCAACGGGGGAGAAAAGCTGGGGGAAGAGACGAACCGAGGTATGAGCTGCCGGAAAGTTGGGGAAGGAGGGGAAAATCAAGAGAAGGGACGACAACTCATAGTTCCCAAAAGGGTTTGCAAATCGCTTCGGTGTGCTCGAATTTGCCGGCGAAGCGTCCCACCATTTGCTAGGCGAAGACCCAGAAGGCGTATTCGTAGAGAGAAAGAGGCGGGCGAAGTGGAGGTTGGATGGAGGTTCCGGCCCCAGAATCCCGCTTATTTGGAACCTCCAAGATGGGGTGAGCGAAAGTCCATCGGGATTCGGGAGCTCCCGATATCGTTGATCGGGGCCCCGGGCGGCGAAGAAACAAAACACTGAAGTTGGCACTAGTGTAGAACGTGCGCAAGGGAAAATGGAACGACAGCCCGTCAACGTTGTGTTTCCCATGAACCTGGTAGCGAGCAAAGATAGCAATACTCCCTGATTGACGGCTCTTGACCGTGCTACTGGTGTCGCCAATTGACGATCCGATATTATGTGCCAGACGATCTATTCGGGAGGAGACACTGTAATCAACGATTTGGTTGGTTCGGTCTTGCATTGGCCAACATTAGATTCGCCTCGGATCGCTTGTATTGCTCTCCGACTCGCTCCGTACCCTAAACCAATGCTCACCCGGGCTTCTGCAGATTGCCAGAGATCTTGTATCATGAAGTCTGTTCGCAAGACTTAATAGCTAGCAACCAAGGGAAAAAACTTCAGTATAGTAGACGTAATATCCTTGTACTTTACCTGGCAAACCTCGAAGATATAAACCTTACAGATATGTAAAATCGCTCTGTGATCCACTGACCTGCCTCTTTGCGCACCACCCCCGGGATCACCTTCTCGTGCATACAAAGTTGAATCGATTCGTTACCACGGGAGAGTAGAAACAGCAGGTAACATGACCTCGATTAGAAGAAATCATGAAGATCCGAAGCTCTTCAATCGGGTGTTCTCATTTCTCACCATCTGACTGCCGAATCGGCATTTGGACCAAAGTTAGGTAGTATTGTATCGACACTCAGTAAACAGGGCGTGCAGAAAGACGGTTTTCGAAGCGAGCTGCTGTCAGAGATAAGATTTAGTGACGCAACGTATCATTGGTTAATGCTACTAGCGATGATATGGGGCTCGTCATGTCCCGCTCGTTCCGTGTTTAGATGCTAGTTCTTGGAGTAGAAGTGAAATAATTAGTACCTATGTAGTCGTATCAACCCAGCGCACGGTCCTATGCACAACATGCAAAGACTTATGCAAAGCTTCCATGACGCTTACCCGCACACAAGCGCCTTTTATGCATCATCTGTTCCACTGCATTACTTAATCAGGTCGTACCGGGATCGACCAATCATGGCGATGCATTACCCAAGCAGGAGCTCACGACTTTTGAACTTCCCGAATCTAACGGACAGCACAAGATATCCGCAAATCAAACACCCCGTCTGCCCGCTCGCCCATCGTCAATTGAGCAGCCGCCACACATCCCTTGCCATGGCTTCCAGACTCTCACCCCTCCTATTCAGATCAGCCCTCCGCTCGGCAACGTGTCGAGCGGCGAGGCCGCAGTTCCGCGCTTTCTCCCTCACAGCCGTCCGCCCCAGCGACACACTCCAAGTGGTGAGCACCCCTTCGCCTCTGCCGCCCCCGCTGTCAATTGCTCGCATGGCGAGACACGGGAGCAATTCCGACATGCGAAGAATGCCCAATTCCAGTCGTTTCGTGGGGGACAATCGCTAATCATGATTCGCGTTCGAAACAGCACCGCGACTCCCCCAAGAACAACGCCGACATCCCCTTCAAGTTCTCCAAGGAGAATGAGGCCGTCATCGATGAGATCCTCAAGCG